CCAAGTGTAGCACTAGTTGAGATTTTCTCTCTCTGCAGTTACATTTACATTCCCTAAGTTAGCTTGCTAATGGACATGCAACTGAAAATCAACACATACGAACAGTATACCGATACGAACATTAACTGACATTCTAATTTGAACCAAAGATTATACTTATATCAAGAAATCTGCAATATTAATTGTTGTTCTGTTTATAAGCACAAAATACTTGTATTGCTCATAAATTTGGCTATAGACCAAGGGTTATTGCTGTGGATATTAATGTGGCTTGTTAAAATATCTATATAGTAAATCATTCTTAATTATTGTAATCCACATTGGTCTAACTTAAATAACCTTCACGTAGATTTTCATTTTGAGCGTGCTGAAAATTAAATCAAACATTTCAAAATCATTACATGCATTTCACAATCAGTTGCTATTGCTTTCTATTTGATTCATATTTCAGTTTGTTAATATCCAGAATATTTGTAATCTACGGTGCACGACAAGTACTCTTGATTCACTAACCAACCACCTTGATTATGGTAGGAGAATGGTGCAGTTGTATTGGTTCCTAACCACACGATATTTGAAGGTGAAGATTTAATTGCTGAGAAGATTTACACTCAACATGTGACACCTAGAGAAAGTCAAAAATGATGAACTATAGATCACAGGATCGAAATGACGTCATTCGTCCATGCAGGCTTGATTACTGTGTAACTTGATCATTTTCATATCAAATATGTTATCCTATCCCCAGCTAAAATATGTTCTTCAAAAGTGCTAAACATCATATTGCTGATAATCACTACAGGACGATTTAGTGGCCTTCATACAAGATATTATAAACTAATTAAAAAGACTATGAAAATCTACAAGTTTGAGACTAGGCATATCATTTCAGTAGCCGAGATAAGCATACTTATGCCGACTTAGACCAGAATTCTACAGATATACTGAAATCCATTAGCTGAAATTTTGTTGTTGCTGATGTTTCTATGCCAGTTGCCGGCATAGACCTGCTACAATACCATAATATACTCAATGACCCGAACAAACGGGACTAACAGAAGGAAGTACAAAGTTGTCAGCCTAAGGACTTTTGAAATCCTGTTTTAGGTTATACCAAGTTATTGATAAGCATATAGTTCACCGATGCACTTAACGGACACTCAACAAGTACACATATTGAAAAACACGACCAAAATTACCGTGCGTAACCGTGCTACACACCTCATCACAACTGCAAGACCGCCTGTATTCTCGAAAGCACTCCGTATAGCTCTCGAAGAGCCAATGTTAACCGAAAACGAATTCGAGCATATGGTATACTGATGAATGACCCGACCATCGAGCAGCCTATGGACATCTCTCTTATACATGGTCCTCAAAAGTACAGAGATGATTGGCGTCAATCTGGTTATCTTTGTCGACTGAATATGAAACCTACTCTCTATCGTTACCCGTCGTCTCACATTCACGATTTGACAGTTAACCTAACACATTAATGATGCTCAAGGTGTACACCCTCTGAAAAACAACGTGGTGGCCATTCTGGATCATTCAGAATAGTCTATTTTCAAGCAACTTCTCACGTTCAGTGGACCGATATGCCTCTATCGACGACTCACAGCGAATTGATTGTCACTCTTGAGACTCTTAACAGAGCAACTTTGTTGAAATGCTGTACTCATCAGTTTGGACGATGAGATGTAAATAGCGTTCTTCACGGTCGGGGAAATTATTTGTGAAGCAACTGTGCTCTCACATCAGGACATCAAAGCTCTCATTAGTATCGCCGTAGACGCATCCGACTCAGAAATCAGGGGTCTTACAATAATGGGTAAACAAAACCTGGCAACCTTTGACATTCATTTGGAGATGACTGTAATGCAGTGAATGGAAGTATATCATTTTTAGTAGGGAACTCTTAGCAATGTACTGTGCTGCACGGCACTTTCAACACTCGGTGGAAGGCCGAGAGTACATATATCAACATGGCAGTTGCCGATAAATACTTCCAAGTGTGTTGTGATGCATATCGGTCATCAAGGCACAGATTCATACACGATGAATAACACTGAGCTACCTGTCGTCCAGACATATAATGACTTAGGAGTTATCGTTAGTCAAGACTTAAAGACTACTGCACACTTCCGTGCAATAGCCGCCAAAAGTTTTAGAACGTTATGGTCAATACGTAGTCATGTCGACGCTAAGACGTTTTTGACTTTGTATACAGTGTTCGTTCGTCCTAAACTTGAGTACTGCATACAAGCGGCTAGCCCCTGCTTAAAAAAAGACAGTGAGCTTCTGGAAAAGGTTCGGAGAACGGCGACTAAGCTGATTCCCGGAATAGCGAAGCTTCCGTATGAATCTCGACTGGCCAATCTGAACCTTTTCCCGTTGTCATATCGCAGAACTAGAGGCAACTTGATTACAGTCTACAAATTGCTTAGTGATAAATTTGCACCTGATATGCCCTCATTTTTCTTGTCTTCCAAAACAGAGAATTTACGAGGACACTCCAAAAAAGTTCACAAGCCGAGAACAAATTACTTGTCAGCTGACTATCGACTTTCCCATCGAATCATCAACGAGTGGAATTCACTACCTCAGCACGTGGTTGAGGCTCCATCCGTCGACTCTTTCAAAAGAAAGTTGGATCAACTGAGAGACCACCATTGCCAGGACTAACATAGGCCATCGAGCCTCCTGTCCTTCCCAAACTGAAACTGATATATATAACATAGCTTAGATAGGAACTAACAAAAACATCAGGATTAAGTGTCTTAAAGCCAATTATTAAGAAGAAAGTTCAATTATGTTGCCCCTCCCCGAAAAATCGAGCGGTACGACGTCATCCCGATAATTAACGACTACGACGAAACTAAGTTGGTGTACGATAACCGGTCCAAGCCAATACACTCTGGGAGAACGGCAAAGTTTACAGGACACTTTCCGGAACTATTTGAAAGCAGAGAACATGGAATAAGCTATTTGCGACTACCAACTAGCTTGTCTAAACACTTCTGTTAAACAAACAACAATGTTTTAATGTATAAATCTCATGCGCTTTTTGATATATGTGCTTCACATACCTATGATGGGTTATATTGAAATGTCACAGATTAGGAAGATACAATTGAAATGTTTTTAATTGAGATCATGGACCGATTGATGTTAGACCACCATCTTTGTCGGGTAGAGACAGGTATCTACCTCAATACAATGGAAGATGGTCGCGCAATTTTGTGGATTGGTTGGGGTTAGACACTAACACCATTGGATGTCGGCTCAGTGGTCTAGAGGTCAAGCGTTCACACGCGAGGCTGAAGGCCCTGAGTTCGGGATCCCGCAGGCGGGATCGTGAATGCGCACTGCTGAGGAGCCCCACAATAGGACAGAACGGCCGTCCAGTGCTTCTAGGTTTTCAATGGTGGCCTAACACCAATCGGTTCATGATCTCAATTAAAAACTTAATAGTCTCCACAAAGCCTTTACTGACAATTGAAATGTAATTGAGATACCGCATTGTAGGTTTTCCGTCTGGTGATCACAACTAATGCCAAATATCGTGAAGATCTTCACGAACCAAAAATGTACGGCAAACGTTGAAACCAATATACTGGTTATAATAGCTGTCATTGATGTAATTGTAATTTGCGTTAATTCTTCGTTTACTAATAATCTTTGGTATTAGTATCATATGATGTTTATTATCCTTATTATTCCAATCACGATGATTATTATTATTACTAACTCTAATTACCCTTAGACTTAAAAGATAACGGGAGGTGGAAAAGTCGATGTCGAGAAGTATTTTGTTTAGTGGTTATATAATATTTGTCTCAGTCGGTCTTGTGACCTGCTTGCTAAAAACGTAGTTTGACCAAATAAATGTAAGTCTTTATATCTTTACGACACAATTGCTTTGAAATTTATCCCTGTTAGCTTCTGAGTTTCCTACCTTTTTTGTCTGTTGATTTCATTACTGAGTATCAAACAATACAATATAATACTTGACTAGTCTTTGGCAGTGATTGCTCTTCAAATGTCGGTTTCATGTCAGTTTTTTATGAACTAATGTGCTAAAAAACTTATTTTTAAGGGATAAACGTTCAGTTTAGTCAGTTGCTATTATTTTTATTCCTTTTATTAAGAGTAAAACTTCCAAAACACCAGTTATTTTCTTACTTCTTCAGACTATGGATTTTGTTTGATCGGCGCCTGCTTTGTTTGTTTAACAGAAGTATACTTTTAATTGTGAACAATAAAACCTTATACGTCATTTAAGCATAACTATTCTGTGTTATTAAGTTACCCCATCCTAAAATCGTATCACTCATGAATACAAGTGAAATATTTAATATCTGCTATTATTTCGCAATTAATTAATAACGTGCTCAGCATATATGAGTGCACGTAAACTGTTCTCTGTGTTTCGTTCATTCAGCAGATGTATATTGAAGAATATGGTGTCATACAGTAGAATAATTACTTTGTTTGCATGTATTGAATAAACAGCGAGATAAGTAGTCACAGTCTACTTGCTCCATGACCTCATACACATACACACAAACTTACATTTTTAGTCACTGTTTTAATAATCTCATTTTTCTTTTCGTCTATTTGTATTACGTTTACTTTGGCAATTTCGTTACTAAAAAACCAATAATCTGTGATAATCGGCGTAGTGTTAGTTAGTGTACATTTATTACAATAGAAATCATCGGTGGAATAGATAATTTGCATCCATTAGTATCAAAATTCTTTACACTGCTGTATTCTCACCCACTATGTAACACATTTTTGGGTATCTGGTAAAAAAGATAGTGTGCGCACAACAAGTAGTTCAAAAAAGGTTTGTTTGTCATTAGAAGTAGATTCAAGTTAATATTATTATTGTATATAAAAAATAGTCTTGGTGGTAATCATTATATTTATGAATATTAATGAACCATTAGTGTTTTTATGTTTCACTTGATTGGTTATACGAATATAGTGTTGCCATGGGTTTTTCAAAAAAATTCTATTTAAATAACCGTGGAACTTTCATTGGGGGAAAAATAAAAGTGGAGATAATGATCACAATATACATAATAAAACCACATCCACTTGTTTGGTTGCGTATTTATAGATTTATATGTGTATGTTCACTTGGTTTCTAAATACTTTAATGTCGACTGACATTAGTAAATGCAATGTTTGTTCGTACGATTAGTTAGTTATCATTTGTTTGCTTTTTTATGCAGTGACCTTGGATTTGTTATCTACTTTCATCATATCCTACCTTTTGGAATTATTTTTTTACTAGTACGCTAATGAAGGTAGTCTAGCAGGTCTTTTGGCCGCTGTAGCATTAAACTTGTCTTGGTCTGTTCGGATCAATTTAGCTTTGGATATTGCCTGTAGCCTTCACCATCTGCACAGTCACAGTCTAATTCATCGAGATTTAACCTCTCAGGTATTTTTTACAAGAGATTTCATCCACACCCATATGCATTGTTTTCAGATTTCAGATTTGTGTAGTAAGGACAGAAGGCCTACGGCCTATGTTATTCCTTTTCTAGTATGCTTCTGTGAGTGTCCAGTCTTCTCTTGAAAGAGTCAATTGAAGGTGCGGATACCACTGCTTCAGGCAGCAGGTTCCAAGTATTGATGACTCGGTGTGAAAACCTGTATGCCAGGGGTATTTTGTTCGTTCTTGGCTTTTCTACTCGCCTGCTATGTCCTCTGAGGTGTCCCGATCTAGTGGGAAGGAAGAGAGAGAATAAGTTAGGTCCGAAATCATTTCTTAGTATTCTGTACATCAATATTAGATCTCCCCTTAGGACAGAGTAAAGAGGTTCAGTTTTTCAAGCCGCTCTTCATATGATAAACCCCGGAGTTCCGGAATCGCACGCGTAGCTGCCCTCTGTACCTTTAATTTAAACTCCTGTTATTATGGGGTTCCAGACTTTAATCTGATATTTAGATGCCGCCTGTTTGCTTGAAATAGTAACAAGTTGTATTCATGACAGAATAGAGTTAAAGATTTAACCTAAACAACGTGACATTCATTTTCTGTATTTGAACATCACTACAAGTCAAGAAAGAACAAATTCAAAAATTATGATTTCGAAAACCATGAATTCTGTTTGGGGATAAATGTTATTGTATTACACCATCTTCATAACTTTCTTATCACAAAGCACCAGTTAGCATTATTCGTTCACACACTCAGTCTTCAGTAATAAGGATAGGAGGTCTGTCGACCTATATTAATCCTTGCAGTTTGTAATACTGTGGAGGTCCAATCTCTTTTTGAATATATTAACAGACGGTGCTGATATTACGTGTTCCGGTAGGGAATTCCAGTAATTCACTACTCGGTGCGAGAAACGGAACTCCAGACGTAAACGGTTTGATCTCGGTTTTTGAACTTTCTTCGAATGTCCTCTCAAATGATCGGTTCTAGACGGAAGCAAAAGATAAGACATGTTAATACCAAGGTCATCGTTCAGTATACGATAAGCCAATATTAGATCACCCCGTACTCTACGGTAAGATAACGGAAATAAGTTAAGGTGTCTCAGTCTGTCTTCATAAGATAGGCCAGCTAGACCTTGTACCATCTTAGTAGCTCGTCGTTGGACTCTTTCTAGCATATCTGCTTCATATTTGAAACAAGGACTCGCTGCTTGAATCCCGTATTCTAAATGTGGTCGCACATAAATCGGGTATAGTAATCCAAACATTTCATCATCTAAATACTGGAAAGACCTACGAATTGACCATAATACCCTATAGCCTTTTGCAGCAGCAGCCTTACAGTGACTAGTCGTTTTGAGATCATTGCTTAATATAACTCCTAAGTCTTTATAGTTTCTTGCTTTGGGTAGCACGAATCCACGTAGTGTGTAGTCATACGATTCATCAGAGTTATTTAACTGCATCACTACACTCTTATTAGGATTTACTTCTAGTGACCACCTGTCTAACCATGCCACCAATGAGCTAAGATCGTCCTGTAATACTATTCTATCCGACATACTATGTATGGGTCTCCAAATCTTTATGTCATCGGCGAAGAGTAGAACGGATGATTTTGCTACAGTTGGCAATTCATTTACATAAAGTAAAAAGAGAAGAGGACCTAGGATTGTGCCTTGGGGAACCCCACTTTTTACAGGTACCCACGAGGAGAGAGCCCCATTAACCCTTACCCTTTGTCTCCTGTCATGGAAAAAGTTACTTATCCAATCGACGACTGTGTTATGGATTCCAAAACGTTTCAGTTTGAATTTAAGACCAGAGTGTGAAACCTTATCAAAGGCTTTACTTAGATCTATGAAAATTACATCCACAGGAGCATTCCGATCCTTTGCCGCAGCCCACTCTTCTCGTGCAATGAGAAGATTTGTCAAGCAAGATATGCCTTTCCGAAAACCATGTTGTGCCCTGGAGAAAAGATTTTGCCCTTCAACATAGTTTATAACAGCTATCCGAATGATTTTCTCCATCAGTTTCACAACTGCACTAGTTAAGCTAACGGGTCTATAGTTACTAACTAAATCCCTACTCCCAGCCTTATACACCGGACTTATTATGGCGTCTTTCCAGTCTCTAGGAAGTCTGGACTGTCTCAGAGACATGTCGAATAGTATCGCTAATGGTTCAGCGATTTCACCTGATATGGCTTTCATAATCCTAGGATGAATATCATCGGGACCACTGGACTTATCAGGTTTGAGATGCTGAAGTAGCCTTAAAACAGTATCTTTCTCAATGACTACAGGATCCATCAGCGAGCCGTCACGGTCACAATGAATCATTGGTCGTTCCTCATTACCGATAGAAAACACTTTACTAAAATATTCCGATAAAGCTTCAGCTTTTGCGGCATCATTCTAAAAATAATTTACAATACCACTCACTTCAATTTTATAAAAACTAGGACATAAGAATTGGACTTTCTGAGTATGTTGACTGATATTGATCGTAGTCGCCGCTTTTCATCGGATAAGATGGGTCTTAATTCGCTGTTTTGTAAAGCAAAAACGTTTCGGAAACAGATATTAACACCAACCATAAAACTATAGTTCGTCGATTTTCAGGAATAACTTCTTCAGGAAAAAGATAGTACTTGACATAGTTTTTAAGTTGTTCGTTTCTTTTTCACAATGTGATGATATCATTATAATAGTCCTTTCTCTACATACACTACAGAATATCCTTATCCGAGTTCACACTCGATCGCACCCAGATACAACAGACAATTATTCTGATTCAACATTTAACTTTGACTATCAGACAGTTTGTAATGGCACTCTCCGAGATCGACTTACTCAATCCAAGTTATCTGGATCCGAAAGCGATGCATTTGTTCAAGGAAGCACGCATACCAATGGCTTATCACATAAATCTTGTCATTCTCATAATCTTTGTAGACGTCACAGCAGTCGTGTCAACCGACAGCAATCTAACCAGTTTAGCAGAATACCCTCAAATGATGAAACCAATGAATTTTTACCAGTCAGCTCTAATTCAAACGAAGAATATCCCACAGATATAGATAACTGGTTTGAATTTAGCTCATCTACTTTCATTTGCAAACCAACATACTGACGAATTGTCGTGTCCAAGTAAATCAATTACCCCCTCCAGCTATCTGCAGTCTATTCCACTTATTGAACCACAATGGAAGTAATTAATTACTAATGATCTACTTGTACTAAATTGTCTAACTGGATCAGAAATTTTAATATCATCAAGCAGTTCACTGGAATTTACTGCACTTGTGGCCGATTTGGGTTTATGCTTGGATTTGAGACAGTAGGTTTTTTGATCTATACATATCGCTACACTCGTTTTTTTAATTTTCTCACAGTTTTATTTTTGTAGACCAAGATTCGTGAATATGGAGTTAAATTTAGTTCAGTTGTTCAGAATATCCAAATACGTGTTTCAGCACTTCCTGTCATATCACCATCAAGCCGAATTATCCGTTTTTATTGTCCACCAAATACTAAACACTAACTTTTACTCCTGTGTTTTTAAGACACCGAAGTAAATGCTGATTCGAAACGATGGACAGGAGTTTATGCTAATCCACCGTGACTCAATACAACGAGCATTAGAACGCAACACTAATTCAAAACCTCGAACTAGTTTTAAATCATTTCCGGCTACTTAGTTGACTAATATTGTTCTTGAGCAGTTAAATGTCATTGTTCGGTTTGGTAACTTATTAGCAAAGTTCTTGTCTCATTTCGCTTCTATGGATCATGCAGATACAGTTTCAGTCGTTGGAAACCCATTTTATGCTGCTCCTGAATGTCTAAATCGAGTAGCACCATATACATTTGCTGCAGATATATTCTCCTACGGTCTTTTGTTATATGAATTAATAAGGCGTTTCCACAACGACTGCTCACTCATACCCCGTACACCGGTAAGTATAGATTGGCTTAATTACTTTTATTTCTGGATTACTGAAGTCTAAGATATGGAAGCTCATTTGCATCTATAATACTAAAACGTCTTGGCATTTCTTAGTGTACGAATTTCTTCATTTTTTCGAAAAACGTTTGTCCTTAAGGTAGTGCAAATTCACAATTGATAAAAAAAGATAATCACAGGTAGAATAGGTCAATTGTAGAGGTTGTTGAGTGTAAGGTTAGCTAACATTACAAACTGACTTCTGGTAAACAACCACTCGAAAACATGATACATCTGGATACCTGTTTCGCTTTAGTTTGGAACTTCTGAATAATACACAGTTATGACCTCCAAGCATCATGGTGACTGCGTTGTCTCCAATCCGCTTAGTTAGAATCCAGTGATCCCGATTCATACTTCAAACGGCAGTTAATTCGCGATTTTGCACAACTATCACTCAATACCATCAATCATGTATCTCACTCCCAACGTAGTTGTATTCATATGTGGATATTATATTGGATAGTCTGTCACGAAAAAAAGCTTGGAATGCATTGGTAACATTTCTGATCACTAAATGACAAACCAATTCATCATAAAGTTAATATTGTTAGTTTACAAAAACTCACTGAATATCAGTATCTTAGACTACATATATAATGTACATAATCAGCAGTAGAGTTGTCAGAATATTTGTACACCGAAAATCTCAAATGCTCCACTTGAAATTAAAATTTAGAATTTAACTCAAACTCCATGTACTCGGTTACGCGTTACACTCTAAGTTTGAGGGCTAATGTTAATATCTGATTTCCCAAATCAAAATAGGTGAAGCCGGGCTCAAACCTGGGAGTTAGATGCTAAAAGCCGAACACCCTAACTATCAAGTCGTTCCACTTAGTTTAATTGATGTGAACAAAATGCCGTTTAACTTGAGACTAAATTCCATTTCCTTGTTTATGGAACTGTTGTATAGATCACATACTATGAAATCATTCAATTAGTAGCTTTTTCAGTTTCTTATACTTACAGATTAAAATGGAATGTGCCTATCGTTAACTATTTATATGACCGTAATTTCTACTTAATCTTTTTATTTTGTTTTCATATACCAGTTAATAATATTATATTCTCATGTCAACTAATCTACTTATATGCATCAGTTGATATGCCACAACTTCACTTGGATATTTAACAGGTTACCTACACTCATAGCAACAACCAGGCAGTAGAGCACTGTTACCCACTGAACGATTAAATGTCATAAGTTTATAATTACGAAACTATAATCATTTGAGATATTGCAGCAAAACGGCTGAAGAAGCAGGTTATAGGTATGATGCATTAGTGAAATTGTGAACCTAAATTGTTTGAGACTTAAAATATTCTACCTAACCTAAAGTGAGTATGGAGGACCCACCTAAAGGAGTTGGAAAACCCTGGTCCCAAACCAATAGTGCACATGGGCTCCAGTATCCTAAGGGAACAAATGGCGTATGAACCTATTGTTGGTCACTGGCTACCATGAGACTGCATCTCTTTACGTTGCTCCAGTGACTTGTGGATTAGACCCCTAGGTCAAATGCTCGGGGAGTGACCTCCTAAGAAAACCACCTGCTTCGGTTTGGGCACCTGGGCAATATTCCAGCCCTCATACAAATTATTCAATTCGTGTGGCGCATATGTATTTGGTGCCTCCTTGTACCAACGTTTACGTGTTCAAATAAATAAAGTAAACCTACGGAGTATTATTAACTGTAGTTAGATATGTTTGGGACATCAACTGTTAAATCATTGCAATCTTCTACGGTCCTCTTATTACCAGATATTGATGGTTTTAAATAAACCTGGTCTATATCGACTGCGGTTGCTAAGATTCATCTACTTCACATATGTTGAATAAAAAATCTAAAACAACTTTGAAATTCACGATTTGGGGATAGACAGACACTGAATCGATTTGTGGTATTGCGATCACTTTTGAACCAGGTCACCCAATATCTCCTAGAATTAATCAGTTTCATCACACAGATCCCAACTAGATAATTCGCACCTACCAACACAGCTCAAACTAGCAGCCACTAACTTCACGGACTTATGCCACTTCTTTGCTTGGGCGTTGCTGGTTTTCTTCTGTTCTAGTTTTACGTCAACCATCATCGTTCGTTAGGTTTGGCAGTGTTTGGACATGAGTAAAATATTTTCGTATGATCCACTTCTGGTTAACGAAATTTATACACTATCTGAGACTTCTATCTTTTGTTCTAATTACTTTTATTTATGTAAGGATATTTCCGACGTTCTGTGAAGTCTTTTAACTACTCAGAAAAGATATCTATATCTCTGCCGTCGTTTGTTATGACTGAGATTTAAATCATAATATCTTAGATGGATTAACTGAAGTCATGGATCCTAACATATTGGGACTCGAATATTCAAGCTAGTAGTAACTTAGTTGAACGTTTTAAAGCGAAGTTAGTTTACATACACATCCTAAGGTGTGTTAATATCGCAACCATTATCTTGTAGTCATGACGGTCGTTTGTTGTACACATTTTGCGTTCTTTTGTTCTGGTAATACTAACTGAGACATTAATGATAGTTTACTTCAAATTACAGTAGCCAATAATAAATGGCTATTTTTTGACAGTTGTAAGTTTACGTATTAGAGCTCTATTTATGTATATTCCCCAGTTTCATGAAAATTATCCTACACTGTTGTATATATAGTTTGTTTTATCTTCTCCAGTCTTTTGGTTTAGATCACGAAAACCTCCCGGTGCCTCCTGATTGTCCTACTTGGTTTTTCCAGTTAGCTGTCGACTGTTGCACTCTTGTTGCATCGACATATCTTAGGCATCATTGACTCAACTGAAAAAATATGTGCAATTTGTCTTGTCATGAAGCAGTCCATTCTCAGTTTCCTGTACCTGCACAAAGCTCCACTACAAATGGTTCACATGATATTAAATCCCAAGAAACTGTCCTTGAATCTCCCTTATAACATCACGTAATCTCATCTAACTCCTTATTTTGTCTACTGTGGCTGTTTATCAGATGTGGTGAATCATTAGTTAGTCACTTTTACATGTTTATCGCCATAGCCATTCCTAATCAACATATCTTGTTGATGAAAATCATCTCATGATTGATTTTTAGTACTTTCTCAAGAAAAGACAATCAGCTAGTTGATTCAGGGGACTTTTCTATTTTTCACTTGTTTGTAAATTGTGTCAATCCACTACTTTTCTTTGTTTTATGATCTGTGAGTCTTTTCTCAATGTTAATCAGTTCTTTCAATTATTATTTTTGACTCTACTAGCTTTTGCCTTAATTATCAGTTATAAATAGTGCCAGGGCTTAAGTGTCGGTCTATGAGGAATCCATCAGAAGTTCTCTTTTTAATCTCAACTTTTTGAGTGGATTCTCATTGTGTTTTCAATTGTTTCTTTCTCAAAACAAAAGTTGTCCGAATTCAGTTTGATGTGTTTTTTAGTGTTAGTTTTGGAAGTAATCTTACTTTGTTTTTCTGTGCTTCATTTTCTTACTCTTTCGTCACAATCTCTACTTTAATATCATTTATTGAAGTATACCATTATAAACACGTACTTCTCATAGTTAATTTGTTTCCTTTATTTGTACTGTGATGTGGAAATACTGTTTTTTTCTTATTATCGTATGAAAGTACTGTGCCTACATTCTGCTGTGTTCCATATATATATACTTGGCATTTATAACCCCATTTACATACGTAAGGATATGCTTCTACAACTCTTCCATTGATAATTACGAAACAGTCCTTTCTTTCTTTAATATAAAGCGCAAAATATATCCGTACATTACGAATATCTTAATGTAGACGTTAATTTTTCATAATACCAAAGTTCTGTAGTTGTCTGCTACTTCAATTTTTCGTAACTGAAATTGTTATTACTATCACTTTTACGATTGTTATCATCGCCTCCAAATGTCCTGGTACGGCCGAGAGTAGGGAGAGTCCGCTCTCCTCGAAATGTTTTAACATGGCCACGCGTATATAGCCTCTGCCAGGGAAGTCCTACTCATTGCCTTCTCGCACTACGGGTGTTGTTTACGAAATTGAGAGGACGGAAAGCGAATGTCCGGCGCTCTAACCGGGTTGGTGGACATGAAGAGTCCACCTAGTGGAGTTGGAAAACCCTGATTCCAAACCAATGGTGTACATGGGCTCCAGTATCCTAAGGGAACAAATGGCGTATGGACCAATCGTTGGTCACTGGCTACCATGGGACTGCATCTCCTTACGATGCTCCACTGCCCTGTGGATCAGACCTTCAGGTCGAAGGCTCCGGATGTGACCATCTAAGGAAACCACCTGTTTCGGTTCGGGCAGTATCACAGCCCTCACACCTATCAAATGAGATTTGTGTGGCGCATATGTATTTGGTGCCTCCTTGTACCAATATCTATGTGTTCAAATAATAATAATTGTTATCACCAGTGTGTAAACTAATTTGACATACGATGAGCAGCAGTATATAAATTAATCTTTGTTGCAAAAGTAACTGTCATTCCAACTTGGTAGCGTTTTGGTCATCAGAATTCCTGGTGATATACGAATATTGTTGGAGAACATAATGATAAGAGTTTAGTTCATATATCTGAATTATATTTTAATCTTGCCAAACTTTAGACTTTTTTCAATAGTCTGGTCCGGTCAACCCATTATACTTATCACATAACTGGCTACTTGGAACTGTTTCGCGTGATCAAAGTCCCCAACTTTCGAGTCATTAGTTTACGGAAATGCATTCGTGGTTGCAACGTAAGAATACGACTTAATGCAGCATTTTTTTCTGTTAGCGAACGACATCTTCATTCATTAACTAGCATATTTGTTCCGTCTGGAAATGCTGCAACTAAAGCCATTTTTGTGAGGGATACTGCACTTCATTCTGTCCCAAGCTCTTTTTAAACTTTTTTGCAGTATATTCGATTAAATGGACAGTCACCATAAATAAAAATACACAAATTAGCTCTAGAAATAAAAATATGGGAACTGTGCGTCATTTTTGTTCTTGCTTAAAATCAACTCGTGGAAATTTTACTTGTTTTTATGGAATTAATACACAAAATTAGACTTTTACTGCTATACACATGTTTAATCTGATCTTATGGTACAGTTATGTCGTTGAGGAGTATGTAAAGTGAAAAATGCTTTTAGAAATTGGGGGACGTATACTAATACTTCAACATAAAGTTTCGATAATTCAACTTGAGTATAGAATTATTATTGTCTACCTATGAACCAACCAAATCAGATATTTTAGTCTGGTGTTGGAAATTTCATCGCATGTGATATTTATTCGTACTACTACATTGCCAAGCTGATCTCATTGTATTCTTCTGTATAGTCAGTAGACTAATTATTTCATATCGATTTTATGTCTGTTAAAAGTCCATTAAAATAACCCATTGTGTCATTGAATAAAAATAATATTCAAGAGAATTTTGCTTTAAATTCAGTCATTTACTTAAGCTGTACATTCGTATTAATGATTGACCCGAAATAATCATGGAGATGGTTTACCGTTGGGTCCTCTTTTGTCTGATTGTTTCACGATAAATCTGGGAAATACTGTACTCCAATCAATCGAGGAATTTCATCTACATAGGAGATATGTGGTTAACACTCATTATTTGTGAAGAAAATATGGAAGTTAATGAAATCTTGGATAAATTTAAATAGTTGTCATCACTCAATTAATTTTTCTTTAGGAGCAGAAATGAACGCGGGATTTCTATACTTTATGTCTTGTTGAAAAAGAGAGATGCTCCCTCACAAACATATGTACATAGAAAACCAACATAGATTGGTCAGAATGCAAATTTCCATAGTCGAGTCCCATTGGCTAGAAACAGGGACCTAGTTCGCTTTTTCCTTGAGGACTAGGCAAATATGCTCTCATGACACAAAAGGTGAGGAACTACTTCAACTTAGACGAACACTCATCAGAAATGGATATACACATTCAAACCATATTTTAGTCTATCGCACTATAATTAATATTACTAGTATTTTGAATTGTTTGCTATTAATCCTGTTAACTTCATTTCTTTCTGCTGATTCAGTGTGGCGTCTTGTACCACGCTGTGTACTGATAACGACGGAATTGATGGTGGTTAATGGCAAGATGCGGAGCACTAGTTTCAACGCACGTGAAAACTTATAGGTTGTATGTAATAATATCTCGTGCCGCTCCAGGTAAAAATATATATTCTATAATTCATTAGTGTCTGAGATTCTGCGGTCCCTACGTATCAGGTATCTTTTTTAGAAGGTACATATCGGTGGCAAAATTAAATTGTCCTCTTAAGATGTAATATTAACTAGCCAAGTTTGCTGTTCCCGTTTCCCTAAAATAAATTGGTTGACAGGTAAAATGATGAGTTTAAATTCATAGATTACACCACTTATAGTCGCACATACTATTGCAATTTTACTGTATTTTATGCAGAACCTTTTCAGGATATTCAAACGTGCCATCCTTGTCGTACATACTAAGTACGTTTCAGAATAATCCGTTAATCTATCAGTCGTTTTATTTGATCTTAAAAGAAAGTAATTTGTTTAGAGAACCGAGTCGATTTAACAGAGAAGCCGATAGTGTTTTTTAGTTTCCAACTCTATCGAAGCTCATTGTTTTGTTTCTGAATGAGAACCCTTTTATTTTCTTGTCTTGTAAATTATACTATGCTACTTGCTTTTTCCATAGTTTGATTATCCTTTTTTGAATGAAAATTCTGGAATCATAATTGATCTGTCAGTGTGAGTGTATATTAACAAGCACTTTTTGTTGGTAAATTAGTGAATACGGTTGAGAAGTATCTTTGTGACTATATTTTTTATTGACTAGCCCTGAAAGCCAAAATGTTTATTCAGTATTAAGGAAGCTAGTGCTCGTCCAGTTATCTCAATCCGCAACGCTTACTGCTGCGATCAGTAATATTACAAGTAAATTTGGTGGAGTGCTCAACGTACGTATTTAATGTAACCGTTTGGAAATATTTAAACCAATATATTTTATGTTTTGCTTCAGGGTTTTATATAATTACCTTACAAGGTCAATTTTCATACTCATTAAGTAACTGCATACAATTAGCCAAATACATTCATCACATTGAACAGTTTTCAGTAAATTCCAGTCAACACCCCAATATTAAACTTAGATTTAACAGGTTACTCTGGTTTACATTTCATTTGGCTGTAAAAAAAGTAGATTGGTTTATTTAACAAACTGATCAGTTTGTGATGAACGCTTGTTGTTAATTTGAAGTTCAGTCGATTTGCTCGTTTAGAAACCGATATGCCTGAGATCAATTACAACAAGTGATTTCCTATGCTAATGACTAACATATTTTGAACAACGAACTGAGAGTTGATTAGAAAAATGTTTTCAATCATTGTAATTTAAAATGTTCATTTCGACGACGGATAATAGGTTATGATTCACATTTAATGTTGTCAAGACATGTAGGGAAACATGTAAGTGATGGTGTCGTACATGAAAAGAGTTATTGATGTTGATCATACATTTTTAAAGACTGAGGGTTTTCAGCTATTCATAAAAGTAGTCATGGATATAAAATAGTAACTTTCAGAACAACGAAATATTCGCCCAGTACTCATTGTTTATAAGAGGTTGTTTAACGTGCACAGACGTGAAATAAAAAAATAATTGAAAATATGATTTTGTTCATTCATTTCATTCCATATCGCGTTAGTTGCTATTAGGAACGGGTGAAAGATTGATAATAACAAACTTTGAAAGCTATTCACCTCGGAATTGGTATGTATGTTTTTATTAAATAATTAGTTTATGGATTGAAATCATGAGTCAGTTGAAGCTAGACCACCATGGAAAACCTGGAAGCACTGGACGGCCGTTTCCTCGTAGTATGGAACTCCTTAGCGGTGCGCATCCACGATCCCGCACCCCGCGGGATTCGAAGCCAGGACCCTCGGGGGCGCAACTTCGGATGTAACTGAGTTCAAAAGAAATCAGTTCGCTTTCCTTTTCCCTTAATCCAAGTTTTGATCTAGATCAAAAATGATCAGCAATAACCATCATAACTGAACACAACCCTGTTTGTAGTATAATAAAGCTAAGAAATCGAAGTTGTGAAAACAAAATGAATCCAGCCTAAAAAAAATATTATAATTGGGATGTTGTACAAGTACTGATAAACGTTTGATTAATAAAGTCTGTATACTGAATAGAAAATCAGAATAACAAGCAGTTAGATGTGAGAACCTGACTGAAACTTTACAATGAATTATGTTGGAACAGAAGCGAATATTTTGGATAACATTAAAAAAAGATTCACTTTCTTCATTTGAGACTTACTATAGTCAGTTATCATCATGCACATAATATTAAGTGGGATCTATCTGCTACCTAACAAATCAATAAAAAGAAATGATCAATATGTTTTGTGGTAAACGGACAATCACATTTCAGTCGGTAAGTTAGCAACAACGTAGAACTTCGTACGTACGTACATCAGTTCGAGTTGCCATACCACATTAGCACATAGATACAATTGTTGATTCAAATATCATAGTGGTAAAAGTAGTAAGAGTATAAGCAGTAATCGTAAATACTAGGGTTTGAAGATGTTATTCAAGGAGTACAATCCAGTGAAATAAATTTGGAAAGAGAAAAAATAAGGGACGTGAGAATCCAGAAGATTAAAATTTGGGAGAACACAAAGAGTGGATGGACTCGTGTCGTTGCAAACGACTTTAAGCCATGTCATTCAAGGTCTCTAACCATTGACTGCTGTCATCCCATGGATTCCAACCAAGTAGTCTACACCTACTAACATGGCTCAGTCCACTTGTCAATGACTTCATGTATTTGTGCCGTGTTGTGGTCTGGTCGCTCCTAGCCTTCTTTCAACCTACTCCTACGCCATAAAACATCGATTAAATAAAAATTGATTATTATATTTACTAAAGAGTAATAGTGAGAGATTGTATCATATATTCCACATAACAGAATATTAACACCTAGTTTATGATTGATGAGATGTTTTATCAACATTATATTTATTTCGAGGGGGAGAATCGCATCCTGAACATGCTTGCATTGTTGCTTAGAGTGGTCAGAAGACTGCATTTTGTCAGCGTCTTCGCCAAATAAAACTATGTCATCAGCATATTCTAAGTCAACAAGTGAACCTCCTGGTAGAAGTTCAACCCCCTGGAAATCTAGACGAGGAAAGTGTTATCTCTAAAAGTACGTCAATGACAAAGTTGAACAGGAATGGAGAGAGTGGACAGCCCTGACGAACACCACTTGAGGCAATCAATTTTGATGACAGTTCGCCATAAGCTCTCACTCTACCAGTTGTGTTCGAGTAGAGAGCCTGTATAAGGTTAATGTACTTCTTTGGTACTCCTTTCAGTGACAAACACTGCCATAGAACCTTACGATCAACAGAGTCGAATGCCGCCTTAAGTCCGAGAAATACTACGATTGTGGGGCGTCTGAATGTGTGTCTATGTTCTAGGACTTGACGCAGTATGAATATCTGGCCTATACGGCCACGTTCTGGTTGTAAACCAACCTGATTTTCTCTAGTTTGCTCTTCAAAAGCTTAGTTTTGGTGTCAAATTATTATTGAGACTAATATTTTAGACACAATGTTAGTCAAACTGATTCCTCTGTGAGTGTCACAAGAGGACTTTTGTCCTTTCTTATAGACTGGCACAATCAGTGATTGAAACCAGTCAGATGGGATTACGTCCAGTTCCCAAATTCTACCTAGGACCTCAGTCAGTCTCGCTACTAATACTGGACCGTCATCCTTAAAAATCTCAGGGGTAAACCTGCCAGTGTCTGCTGCTCTCTCTCGCTTCAGATTTCCTGTAGCTTTTTCAACTTCGTAAAGAGTTGAAGGACTTGCATCAATTAGCCATTCAGGTCGACTGGGAATCGTGGGAAACCGAAGTGTGGCTGAAGGCCAGTTGAACTGATCCCTGAAAAGTTCTCCCCATTGGTCCATTCTCCTGGGTTGAGAGTCAATAATGCGTCCATATTTTTCCGAAATGGCTTCCTGTAAAACTCAATTAAAAGAATGAACATTATTCAATGTCGATTTTTGAAATGCTAACATCTAACTGACAATCACTCAACAATTATCATCAATATCGATCAAGAAATAAGAAGGCGAAATTCGCTCAAATATTTTATGCTGAAAAATCTTTGTTGTACCAAAAATATAATATTGAATAAAGCTAATAATAATAAGAAAATTCCTTCACTGAAGAGAAAATAAACAAAAGGTATGATTTTCCACTTTGAATAATTCTTTAGTGAATAGGCCACCATAAACATTAGGGGAACGAGTTTGGCCTGGTTTTCTAGTATGGATTCGGAATATGAAACGATGTCATTTAGTCGGTGGATTTATGATCTAACAATAAACTCGTATATCATCAAAGACATAAAGCTCAGTACCTGGGAAAATTTCAGAACAGCTTTTTGGTAACCATTCTCACCACTAGACTTAACCAAATCACCATGTTAAAAATAATAAAAAGAAACGTTCTGTAAAATAAAGTTCTCTTCTCGTTTATCAAAATAGAAAGACGAATAAAACAACGCAAAGAAGTACGGTCATGATTCTCCTCATCAATCATCATTAATGTCTAAATATGCAAAACAAATTATAGACACGAATTTAATTTAAATAAATAAAATATTCAACAGAAAAGATTAAGCGGAGGATAGTTGTTAGTTAAAAAGTTGTAGAAAATCATGCATCAATGCAAATTAATTAAACTGAACGAACAGAGCAGAATTATATCAAAAAGATTTTATCAATTGTGCAATGTTTTCCAAACAAAAAAACTGAGTTTCTCAATGAAATTAGTGGCTACTAGAGCTAGTGTTGACGTTTTAAAAAATAAATTCTGTATTTCACTACCTGAATCAATTAACCGGCGCATTGACGACGGATTGGTTGGGTCACCAACAGCTCGAAAAACTGCACGAAATTGAAAATCCTAGAATTATAAGACAAAAATAACAAATAAGTCGATTGATCGATAATATTTACCAACATATAAAGTTATTAGCCCCTTTTATAAATTTCGATAGAGCAATGGGAAGATGGAGTTGATCTGCTACCTGAGGACATTAAGTTTTGAAACGCAATACTGAAGAAATACTTAAACATGATTAATCATTTGACAAATCTTCGATTGTAGCCCGTCTAGGATTATTGCCAATCGCAAACCCGGATAGAGGAGGAGGGTTGGGCAAATGGCCAGAAACCCCATCTCCTAGACAAAAAATTTGCTAAAAAACACTAAACAGCAAAAAATCATTTAAAGCATTTAAGGCGTGTATTGAGAGTTGAAGAATCTTCATTTCGAAGAGTTATGTAGACTCATGATGAAAGCCGAGATCGTTCGAAATCACAAAATCGCTGTCCCTTCTGACAACTAGGGCAATAACTTGTAATGACAGGTGGTATCAGAATTTGATATTGATACACAACGTGCTACACACCACCCACCCACCTGACTACTTGAGTGAAAACACAAGAGTGGACAAAAACGTATATTGTGCTACCGAATAAATGCACAAATACTCATTTACAAATATACTGATCTCTCTATGGTTGTCACAGAGGGTCAAAATCATCCTGTAATAACCATAGACGGGCTAATTTGACTAACAGCGTTTAAAATGCTAGAGTCAATAATTATCGGCCGGCTTATTAGGACTCGTGAATTGCGAACACGAGAAAATCAGGCAGGCCTCAGACCTGTTCGTGGATGCATCGACCACATATTTACTATTCGTCAGGTTCTAGAACACAGGCATACTAGTCGGCGCCCGATAATGGTGGTTTTTCATGACTTAAAAGCAGCATTTGACTCCGTAGACCGAGAGGTTCTGTGGCAGTGTCTCTCATTGAAAGGCGTATCTCAGAAGTACATAAACCTTGTAAAGCTCTCTACTCGAACACCGCCAGTTGAGTCAGACTTTATGGCAAACTGTCATCTGCTTTTGCAACCTCAAGTGGTGTCCGTCAAGGCTGTCCACTTTCTTCATTTTTGTTTAACTTCATCATAGACCTACTGATGGAAATAACATTCTCGTCAAATGAATTTTCGAGAATTGATCTTCCAGGAGGTCCACATATCGACTTAGAATACGCAGACGACATAGTACTGTTTGGTGAAGACGCTGATAAAATGCAGAGTCTTTTGGTAGCACTAAGCAACAATGCCAGAATGTTTGGAATGCGCGTCTCTACCTCTAAATCCAAGTTATTGCTTCAGGACTGGTCTGCGTCAACACCTGAACTAAGGACAGAGAATGAAGTTGTCAAACGCGTTGACAATCTCACTTATCTCGGAAGTTTGATCAGCCCTAATGAGTTGGTGTCTGACGAAATCTCTGCACGGATTCAGAAAGCTCGTTTGGCTTTTTCAAACTATGGCGAAGCCGAGATATCCGTCTATCAATAAACGGACGAGTATACTGCGCGGCAGTTCGTTCTGTTCTACTTTACGGCTGCGAAACGTGACCATTAAGAGTAGAAGATACTTGTAAATCACTTGTATTTGATCACAGATGTTTTAGAAATATTGCTCGCATCTGCTGGGACCACCGGGTAAGTAATAGTGAGGTTAGACACAGGCGATTGGGGAATGATGGTAAACCAATTGATGAGGTTGTGAATCTTCATCGACTGAGATGGTTGGGTCGTGTTACGCATACACAACCACAGACTACCACGACGTGCAATGCTGACTAGTGTTGGAGATCGTTGGAAGGAAGTTAGGGGCGATCAAACCCAAACGTCGCATCAGTCCTTGAAGTCACTAACTTCTAGTCTGAGCCATGTTGCTAGATGCAGACTACTTGGTTGGGTACACTGTGGTGTACCATCATACGGAACACTTAAGATGAACTACACTGCATAGTCGTACACGCGGAATAGCTGACAGACTCATTTCAAGTGAGAGCCAGAGTCAGACAAGGCTGCTTACCCTCGTCTTTGCTCTTCCTTCTGGTGGTCAACTGGATTATGAAGACCTCGACATGAGGGAGAGCACGGAATACAATGGACAGCTTGGATGCGACTAGACGATTTGGACTTTACAGGTGACCTATCACTCCTGTCCCATACACACCAACAAGTGCAGATGAAGACAACTAGTGTAGCAGCAGCCTCTGCATCAGTAGGCCTCAACACGCACAAAGGAAAAAGCAACATCCTCAAATACAACACAGAGAACACAAAATCAATCACAATTGATGGAGGAACTCTGGAAGAGGTGGAAACTTTCACTTACCTGGGCAGTATCATCGATATACAAGAAGGATCTGATGCAGACGTAAAGGCAACGATTATCAAAGCGAGATCAGCATTCCTACAATTAAGGAACATTTGGAACACAAAACAACTGTCAACCAACATCAAAGTCACAGTCTTCAATACGAACGTCGAGACAGTTCTACTGTACGGAGCTGAAACTTGGAGGACTACAACAACCGTCACCAAAAAAGCACAAGTATTTGTAAACAATTTTCTACGCAAGATACTGAACAAACCAGCTTCCAACTGAAGAGGAAATTAGGAAAAGACGTTGGAGGTGGACAGGACACAGATTACGGAAATCACCAAACTGCATCACGAGGTGAGCGCTAACTTGGAATCCTGAAGGGAGACGGAAAAGAGGAAGGCCGAAGAACACACTACGTCGGGAATCGGAAGCAGACATCAAGATAATGAATAACACTTGGAAAAAACTGGAAAGTCGAACCGAAGATAGAGTTTATTGAAGGATCCTGTCAAGAGGCCCATCACCCCACGAGGGGTAACTCATTTAATATGGTAGAATCGTAAAGGTTTCATACAGGACCTGGGATTTTCATGATATTATGCCCCGATATAAATGCCTCCAAATGGTATGGCCGAGAGTGGGGCGAGTTAGCTCTCCCTCTCGAAGTGCTCTCACATGGCCACGCGTATGTAGTCGCTGCTAAGGAAGTCCTTCTTACTGCCATTTCGTGGCGAGGGTGTTCTTTACGAAATTAGAGAACGAAAAGCGAATGTTCGGCGCTCTAACTGGGTTAGTGGACATAAAGAGTCCACCTAGTGGAGTTGGAAAACCCTGACTCCAAACCAATGGTACACATGGGCTCCAGTATCCTGAAGAAACAAATGGCGTATGAACCTATTGTTGGTCACCGGTTACCATGGGACCGCATCTCCTGACGTTGCTCCACTGCCTTGTGGATCCGACTTTTAAGTGGAAGGCCCCGAGTGTGGCCACCCAAGGAAACCACCTGCTTCGGTCTGGGCACCCGGGTAGTATCATAGCCCACATGCAAATCACTTGATTTGTGTGGTGCCTCCTTGTACCAATATTCATGTGTTCAAATAAATAAATAAAATGAAAGGTCAAATACCATTTTATGTAGAACTACAGAATGAACGGCAATGAAGTTTTAGTGCAGACTGCTGAAGATAATCATCAATTCTGATGTGTGAAGTTACTGCATAGTTCTTATTTAAATCTATAATAAAAAACAAGCACACAAACCTACTTTATATTTATGGTTTCTTATTTCCATATGATGACTTTGGGGTGTTTTTGCATTGTTCTCACCGGCATCTATAAAACAACTACTTTTCCTAGTACCAACACCATCAGAGTACGTATTTTTCATATGACAAGATGTGTAAACTGTAGAATATTCATCTAGAACACATTCATCATTACTACTTTCACACCAACTAAGAAATATAAGACCTTCAGTGAACGATGGTGATAACAAGACCATATAATTTTGTGTACATTGACGATCGGTATTTGATACTTCATCCAATTTGCTCTCAACTGAATGACTAAATCGGTAGGCTATACATGGTATAGTTTCCGATGTAGAATATTTATATAATTTTGAACTGATAGTCAATTTCATCTGGTCAATTTGATGGTGACTACTCTGCTGTAAATCAATAAATTCTTTGTTTAACAATACACTGACAGAGTTCAAATGGCAACCACCAACATTAAACAATTCAATTAAACGAGGATCCAAACGTAGAATATCCAGCTGAAATGGTGCAGAATCAACTAATTCCTTGGAATTTTCAGAAAAAAAGATGCATAAAACCGATAGATAATGCAAATATAAATTAACAAGAATAGTGCTCACACATAAGAGTCAATATCACGATGGTAATTAATATTAAACTATGGTGTTAAATACCGACTAAGTCCTGTCCATGAGAATACATAGTACAGTTAGACTATTAGGCTAAATCAGTAAATATCTACCCGGATTATGTCCTGAACCTTGATATCATATTTGTTAGCCAGTGAAATGCGTTTATTATTTTTAAAATCAAAAACATTTGCGCTGTAAGGGAGTTTTGAAAGCAGATTTTCGAAAGGACAACAACAGTCTTTAAACTCAAAAGAACACTGATATATAATTTCGTTTCGAGATCAGTAGATTTTTTTATCATGCCTGTCTTTTGCGATACGAGTCAACAAAAATTAAGTTTCACGTAGAACAAAATGAGCATCGAGGAGTTCACTTATGACGACAATATAAATATACTAAAAATTTATATAAATAGGTTCGTCAAGAAAGGAATGTATATGTAACTTCTACTTAATAAAATGGTATGTCATTTCGCTTACTTAGTTCCTTTTCACTTATATTATAATTCATCTTGCTATGTTGCTCTCCATATTGATTTCTTCAGTGCTTTTATAAATATAACAGTTGGGAATGTGATAAGTTATTGAAACTTTCCCTATCTGTTTTATATTTACCAATGAAAACTATCTTCAAGGTTATTATAAGATAAATTAATTAATTGGCTAAGGAAAAGTAACATGCTCACTTAGATGACAACTGTGGTAAACTAAAAAGTAAGTCTGATGGTGTTCATGTTGTTCTATTTCTTTAGGATATATAGTGCTTTTAGGCTAACTACTCTTTTGCGACATGATAATTTCAAAACCTAGAACCGTCGTGATATAACGAAATATAAACTTAAAACAGTTTACAATGCAGAGTCGATATAAGATTAATCACATTTTAATTAATAGGAAGAAACAGACTATAATAAAAAAATTACTTCTATCTCTCGCATTGATAGACTCTGATGGTTCAGAACAGGACATAGGTAACTATCTACCGGGTTCAGGTTGGTGCCTAAAGAAATAGATGAAGCGTCTTCCACTCGACAGTTGGTTTCAACAGCATCTTGGGACAAAGAACGACTATTCGTCGAAAGAATCTGAGTAGCCAGAGAAGAATTTGTATCGAACAGTTTATACCAGAGTAGATTCTTATGACAATCAACGCCAGACCGACCAATTAATTGTGTTATCCGAGATTCTAAATTGGATTGAGATATTCGAAGTACACGATGTAATTGAACTTGATGAGAAGGACACATACTTAAGTAGGACATGTGCCATCGTACATCGCTGTCGAAAGTATTTTCAGAGTGCTTTGAAAATCTTCTATAGTCGCCAGAGTCCGTAGGGGAGATATTCAGATTTTGACATTGTCGTTCCGCTGTCAAACTAGAAATATCTGTATCCTCAATGCCAAATGGTTTAGGTATCCGATTGACAAGGGTTGGTTGATATGTAAATGAACACGGATCAACGCAAGGGCGAATAGCTGGCCAATCAACTGGACACTTAAGAGTAAACATAGGGAAAAGTATGAATCATCAATTAATCTATCCAACTGAATTTAAACTCACTTATGATGTTACTGAAGGTGTATAAACATTCAAAACAGTACCCCCGAAAAATAATTTTAACGAACTACAACGCCTAAATCTCGCCAAGTAGTTCAGCTTCATTTATAAGCGAATTCGTTACTATGTCTTCTTGAATTCAAAAGTCCAGTTTTAATACATAATGTCTCGAATTTTGAAAATTAAAATTTACTGTATGAGGCCTTGACTTTAGTGAGCGTTATCAAGATTTAAACCAGTCACTCTAGTATTATTCATGAACCTATGCTTATATTAAGACCGGCCTGGATTCCACTGCTAGCCACCATCCATCTTCGCTAATAATAATACAAAGATTTGTGAATAAATATAACAGAGACAATTACATTTGAGTACAGTAGTCAAACCAGGTCATTCAATAGCCAAGATTACTATTGAATAATTGGCCTTGAGGTTGGCTAGGGGAGAAGCAGTTGAAAATATTTCTTTTATACGCATAGCTCCAGTTTCTTAATCCGGGTGGCTACTGTTTTAGCCGTTTGAAGGCCCTTAAGTTTGACAAGCTTTGGCAATTACTGACCCGATAAATTATTGAAGAGGATTGGTTTATACTGACACTATGAACAGTTTGCACTAAATGGGCCGAAATCGAGATGTTCACTTTCTTCATCAGACCTTTACTTAGCCACGCTGGAAGGTGTTCCTCGAGCACGAAAATATAAATTCCTAGAACTTCGGCCAATACAACTTACTCCACAGGAGCAGTTGGACTGATAAATACAAAATGAGGTGGTCATTCTAGGTAATTCATCTTTTAGCCTCGGTGTCATAGTTTTCCGGCGTTGAATGATTTTTGGATTGTTCTGCGTAATCTCTGAGTTAATATTTCGCTAGCTACATTCCCTCTAAATTGTAGGCTCATGAACATGGATTTCTTACCCATCGTTTGTGTTCTGCGTATTTACACCTTTGTGATCATATATTTATTTATAATCTTTCTAGGGTGTCCGTTCGCCCTAAAAGTATTACGCAAGGTGGTTAGCTCTGCTTCAACTATATCCGTAGAACATGCAGTAAGTATTCGGTAACCAAGAGTTTTGAACAAATTTCTTTTGTACTGTAGAGGTACAAAGCTAAAGAAAAGTGTGTACAGCCCTGTCTAGGTATTTTTTTCTGTTCAAATTTCTTCTTAATGATCCAACAGCTCTCTTATTTAAGAGAACGTCCAAAAAGACTATACTGCTATCACTCTCTTATTCATACGTAAACTCAATGGCTAGATTATTTCATTAAACTGCCTAAGAGCCTCTCGTTGTAATGCATTATCTTTGCAGAGGATGAACGTATTCATCCAAATGTCGACAGTAAAATGTGAATATTTGGATAATCTTTTTGAGTGAACCATTTCCTCGTTCGGCTAGAAAAATTGCAGCCAGTATATGACCCAATGGCGAACCCATTATCTATCTTAACATTGAAATAATAAAATAATGCGTGCATATAAATAGAAATTTCTCAGATATTACTTTCAACCTACTGTCAAGTTAGCTTATTTAGAAAGTGAGTTATGCACATTATTTTTTTCTGATTTACTGTCATTGATGTCTTTACTAATTTTAGTAAAATTGTAAATAAATCTTGTAACATTGTGATAAACAGGTCTGGAATATCAAAATAATACATTAAAACACACCATTGCAAGATTCATTCAAGATAAATAACATAGGAGAGTAATATTTAGATTTGCAAAACAACATTTCAAATAAAACCGACAGCACGTGTTAATCATGTTAATTGAAAAAAAAGGTCGAGATGGTTACGGAATCTTGATCTAGAATCAAAAGAGCTACAAGTCAAAAAATTGTTTAGATAGTTGTTTATTGCATACAGAAGCTAACTCATAAAATTTTCAGATTAAATTACATCTGATTAAAACACGTTGGAACTTTGATGTATGGAGATGATTAGATGACAGTGGAAACGATCATCAAGTGTTTTGTTTCAAAAATAAAAATATGAATTTCCTTTCTAAATAAGATCTTTTCTACTGATTTCTGCACTCAACCAATTAATTATCTTATACTGTCTAATAACCTCATTCAAACAAAGGATCTAATTCAGTAGAAAGTGGTGAAATGCACAGAAGTGGGAGACATTATGATATGTACGGTTATTGTGAACAAACAAACACTTTTCTTTCATTTATTAAACGAACTAACAAATATTTTATGTTGCAGTAACCCAAATTACAACTCAAAAACACATTTTGACGAAAATCATTCGATGTATTTTAGGTAGCTACGTAAATGTTGAATAAAATTTATAAAACTGGTTTATATGGGACATAACACTAAGGAATAACTACAGTATACGATGAATTGTATACCTGTGAAACAAACAAAATGCCCAAATCATGTACAGGTAAGGTTGAACAAAAAACAAACAAAAATTGTATGTATTTCATCTACCCAGTCCCACACGGGTTCCAAATTAATTAAGGTGATTTGTGAGATAACAATAAGGCTCAACTAACTAGATGAATAGTATTTGAGCTTAAAACTAAAATGTTATGAGATTATAGCATGATTTTGTTATGAATACTGTATACAAAAAGATAATAGTAAGATAAATAAAATGAAATTCTACGTATTTCGCACAAGCGTAAATTAACCACTCTCTTTAGGAATAAAGACTTAGTCATCATTATTATTTTTTTACAAGATTGAAAGTTAAGTCGACAATCATTTTTTTCTAAAATAGTAACCATACAATGTGATATTTTGAAAAGGTTCATCGCATTATTTTAATCATATTTGACCTATTTCAACCATTATCGGGTTACCACGTATCAATTCACGAGAAGATCTAGTGTATGATCACAAATTTTCACTCGCGCTAATAACTCATCGTAATTTATATGTAGGATTATACTGATAGACATGTGACATAATAACTATTGAGAACTTCATCAGCACTACTATAAATTTAGCTCTAATACGCTGAATACAAAATAAAAATTCTTTTTTCTACAGCGTAATTAGCTCAGATAAATCCTCGATAAAATAGTGAAACCACTGAATACATAAGAATCATTCTATCTGATTGCACCAGATATTATGGATATTTCGAAGCAACCTCTTATCCGTTGAACTCTCTAGATTGATATTAATCTATGTGATGAACATCAACAAATCAGTGAAAAACCCATTTATGTTCATTCACACATCAATATAATCGATGGAATACACCACATTATTGCCGACAAACTTAACATTATTAACTTCGAAAATCTTGACAAGACATATACTGCGTTCACTTCAAATTGTAAATAAATATCGACACTCGCAGTTCACCATACATCCTTAAAGGTCTTGAAGTAGTTTTCCCTCATCTTTCAACCTGATCCTGGAAAATATTCACGAACACAAAGCAAACTCCCCCAGGACAGGACTGGTCATCGTGATAACAACAGATTTTTTAATAAATTGAGATGAATTATTCTCAAACCAAAACGGTGCCTCTGAGTAGAATAATTATATTTTTTTAATCAGTGACCAACAACGTGTTTATTACTCTTAACGGTAGTGCCAACACAACTAAAATTAATCTGGTTAACTAATATAGAAATTGTAACAGAATGTGATTACGTTTAATGCAAATTTACATCTACGAAGCATTGGTGACTAATGATGTGTTTGTTCTGACTACAGTTTATTACCTCCCCTTGTGATGGGGTGAAGTATGATAGCCTAAACCAGTATACATTCATATCATGTTCTACAATATTTACCTTGTTGTTAATGGTATTGATTATCTCTCACTTCGACATATACTATTGAAGCACCAGAGGTCAATATTTAAAAAAAAACAAGTGAAAGAAGGTGGAAAAATAAGACCGAATGTTCACCTCAAGTTGAAAATCAATACACAAACGTACACAGACATGTTTCGAATTCTTAGATCAAACTAATAATTTCTGAAAGTAATATTGTAATGGTTTTAGATTACTTTCAATTCACGAGACTAGACAACTTAAATAGAATTCGGAAATACTAACTCATAATGATAAGGTATCCTCTTGGGCAGTGTTACCAACATGTGTTTGACCCGTCAGAAAAAGATGTTGCCAATAATAGTAACCTAGCAAATAAATTTTATTTGACAACGCAAATTTTACTACAGACATTAAATTATTAAAAAAACTTACTTGTGTACATGAACTTGAATTTAATTTTGCAAGTCTAGATTCTGGAAATTCATGTTTTGAATCTAGAATAATTAGATATACAACCAAATGAAGTAGTCTATTTGTAATAGATCCATCTACTGGTGATCTAATATCCGAATAGGTTCCGTTAACTTCATCAGGAACAACAATTCCTGTTACTGAATAAGGTTGGGATATTGACTGTCTATTAGAAAGTTCACTATCAAGCTTTGTTAAATTCTCAACAATGTGATGTGCACTAGCTATTCCCAAAGCGGAAAATTTACAAGACTGATCTTTACTGTTAGTGGTAGAGGAAGAATTCGATTCAGAAGACATTCTTAAATTTGAACATGGTTGATATTTTGAATGATGATCTGAACTGGTTGAACGTGAACTACAACATCCAGATTCCTGTTCAGGATGACATTGCTCAATTAAAGCAAAATTATATGATAAATGTTTGTTATATGGTGGATTCGTTTGGGAAGCACTATATTCCCGTCTAGTCATGCGTAGAATCTATTTTAACGGAGAAAGCAAGTGTATAAGATAAAAGTAATTCACACAAATGGTTTGTTTATGTTGTCAGAAAACATGAAGGATATTTTCTTATAATTCGTATGATTTACTTTTATTAAGTAATATGAAACTGAAGTGTGCATTTCATGTACTTCCGAAAGGTTACACAATGTGATATGAGTCATGTAGTTTTATACAAAGAGTATAAACAGTTACAGACCTGTATGATAACTATTAGTCATTAAGTCTATAAACTAGGGCCGAAAGATATTAAGCAGCTGAAAATTAAGAAAACAGATACTGAATTATTATAAACATACTTGATAATACAAATGAACAGTAAGATTGAAGCAGTTCCCCAAGTTATTCTAACAGTTGTCTTCATCTGCATTTGTTGGTGTGTATGAGACAGGAGTGATAGGTCACCTGTGAAGTCCAAATCGTCTAGTCGCATCCTAGCTGTCCATTGTATTCCGTGCTCTCCCTCAGATGTCGAAGTCTTCATAATTCAGTTGACCACCAGAACGAAGAGTAAAGACTAGAGTAAACAGCCTTGTCTGACTCCGGTTCTCACTTGGAATGCATCTGTCAGTTGTCCTCCATGCAGTGTGGTACGTCATATGAACTTCGTTTGATAGTGACAGCCATTGCAGTCACACCATCGTGTCGAAAACGGTTCCATAAGGTTCTTTTATCCACACTAAATTTCGGTGACGGTCAACATGGCTGAGTGACAATCTAACCACTCAGTGAAAGACAACAGAATTTAATAGTTAAGCTGTGTCAACGATGCGTTTACAGCGCTGCTGTTGACAGATAGTAATACCAACCTTAACCTAAGGCGATTCTGCTAGACCAGTCAATCGACTAAGCATAGTTCTTTAATTGTAAAGCCACCCGTGGTCATGAGTATAGGCAAGTAAGTCAGTCATAAATAACGTAAAAACCTAGCAGAAATGAATATCTCCGTAATTCGCCACAACAAATTAGTACTTTGTAGCGGAAGTATCAAAGTATTGTAGTAGTAGAAGTGATTAGACAGGGAATATGACTTAAGAAGGAAGTAAATATAAAAGTGAGTTGAGAATCAAACGCGAATAAAATCTTTATTTAAACTCACATCTACACCGTAGGAAGCATGTTCTTCGATAAGATGATGAAAAACTTGGTCTGGTCGCAGACATAAACTAACATGGCATGTAACAGGAAAGCAACATAAGTAACCCCGAGAAAAGAGTGGTAATTTTTGAGCAATACAGGTTAAATCTTCTAGAAATTTTGTGACAGGGTAGTCGGGAATAGTAATCACATTAGAATATACGCTTCCAACTGCACTAGTTTGTCTACGTGATGCATCAGAACACTGACTTCGTTGAAAGCATCGTCGATCTAAGTTAGAAAGAGTAACCAACAACAGAGAATTAAACGGTAAAGAAGAATTCCGAGACATGAAATTCAGTCATTACCATCACTTAACACTAAAAAACACTAAACGTTTTTGAAAGACACTTAAGTGATTACACTATTCAGTATTCGGATTCAGTGTAAACAGCCTCAAAGTACGATATGTTGCATGAGAAAAAATACAGAGAGGATTAATAAAACAATATGAAAGAGAAATAATGAAGATAATGTTCAAGTGCGTTTTGAATGAATCAGAAAAAGTCACAACTAGAACAGATATTTTCGATGGCAAGAGAAACCGAAACTGGTTCACTTGTAATAACTTCTATTTTTTGACAAATGACAACGAATATTCCATAATGAATACATAAGTGTATAATCTTGCAAAATAGGTTGCACAAAATTGATCAGTAAAGAAATTGTAACATTGTTGGTTTACCCAAGGCCTGTTTTGCATGAAAACTAAACTTGAACTGCTAGTATCAGTATGATAAACATGTAGTTGCTAAAGTAACAAGATGAATGGATGTTGATTTTATGGAGTTCAACCGCTGAAAAAAAACCAGTTGAAAAGTTTCCATCCGTACAGTTAAAGAAAACAACAAATTTTAACAGAAATGGATACATGAACTACCAGTGTACTTTTTTGTAGATGAAATGAAAATGCTTTTAAGGTTTTACTAAAGTGCTTCTAAAACTTTGTATTTCAGTTACTGCCGGTCTCAAGCCTGGGTAAAGGAGGAGGGTTGGGCATAGGGTCGGCAATCCCATCCAGTAAATAAAAACCTTTCTAAAGAAACGTCCCTCAGATTAAAAAAATTAAACCATTTAAACTCTGCCCTCCGACTTGAAGGATCTATATTTAGAAGAATTACGAAGCCTCATGGTCAAAGCCGAGATTCTTCCGAAGTCACGAGACCGACGCCCCTTCTGACAACCTCAGCAGCAATTAATAAAGATACATGGAATGTTCGGGCAATGTGGGAGACCAGGAGAACCAAACAAGTAGCTGTGGAGATGAAGAGATATAAATTGGTGGTTCTAGGAATCAGCGAAACCCGTTGTACCCAAGATGGACAGCAAAGCCTAGATACGGGAGAGATGTTGCTGTACTCCGGTCCCCGAATGCCCTGGTACGGCCGAGAGTGGGGTGAGTCCGCTCTCCCTCTCGAAATACTCTCACACGGCCGCGCGTATACAGCCTCTGCAAGGGAAGTCCTACTCACTACCTTCTCGTGGCGGGGGTGCTGTTTACGAAAATGAGAGGACGAAAAGCGAATGTCCGGCGCTTTAACCGGATCCCAAACCAATGGTGCACATGGGCTCCAGTATCCTGCGGGAACAAATGGCGTATGAACCAATCTTTGGTCACCGGCTACCATGGGATTGCATCTCCTTACGATGCTCCACTGCCTTGTGGGTTAGACCTTTAGGTCAAAGGCTCGGGGAGTGGTCCCCTAAGATAACCACCTGCTTCGGTTTGGGCACCCGGGCAGTATCACAGCCCACACACAAACGATGAACTTTATGTCTGTGGCAACTACTTTTCTCGCTCCGAAAGACAATCAATCGATTCAAATAATTATCATTACTATTATTGTCATTATTATTATTATTATTATTATTTTTATTATTATTTACTACATAATTATTCACCCTCTTTTATACTTATACAGCGGCTCGTCTTTGGTGGAAATTCGATTCTACCTAAACGTTCTCGAGTCACTGCCTGGTTGAAAATTGTATGCTACCACCAAATACGAATACTGAAGCAGTTTTTCTGAAGCCACGTGCACTATTCAAACTGGCTGCCTTCAACGTCCGCAAACTTTTGCAGGTTGGTCAACAGATAGGGCTGGCTATGTCTTTGGAAAGTCATAATATCGACGTTTGTTGTCTGTTGGAGACCCGTATTCAAGACTCTGGCGAAGTACTACAAATTCGATCTCCATCTGTCGCTTCGAAAAGCTTGTTTTACGTGCGCTTATCCGGGGACCCTGTGGCATCTTCGTCTGGTCTTGCTGGCGTTGGTGGCGCACTAAGCGCTAGAGCTGAGGCAGCACTAATCGATTGGATCCCCATTAACAGTCGGTTATGTGCTATTAGATTAGAGAGTTCCATCAAAGGGAGAAGAAATCGGCGTGAGAAACGATGTCTTTTCGTCATCTCCGCCTATGCCCTGACAGATTGCAGCCCGGATGCAATCAAGGATGAGTTTTACCACCAGTTATCTGTTCTTCTCCAGAAAGTGAGTTCGACAGATATTGTAGTACTAGCCGGAGACTTGAATGCTCAGGTCGGGCGTCTAGGTACAGAAGAGAGTCGTTTAGGTGGCCGATGGAGACTTGTTGGTCGCAGGACAGATAACGGGGACCGTCTACTGCAACTATGCACAGACCACAACCTGTTTCTGGCTAGCACTAACTTTCGGCACAGTCATCGCCGATGTGCCACCTGGCGTCCTCCCTCCACACCTGATGCCTGGACTCAGACTGATCACATCGCGATCAGCTACCGCTGGCGTGGTTGTGTACAAGACTGCCGCTCCTCTTAGAGTACCTATCTCGACTCTGATCATGCTTTGGTCTGCGCCAATCTTGCCTTAATTTTCAGTGGACAACGAAGTGACCGCCAGCAAAGGATTGATATTAGCAAGCTGGTTGCAACTTCAGTTGCAAATAATTATCGAACCGAGCTAGCCTCTAGGCTAGATCGAGAACCTTAGTCCTAGAGACAATGAATGATGGATTTATCATAGGGGTATTGGGAGTAGTTTTCAATTAGCAATAACCGCGCCTCAGATAAACTTCATTGGCTACGGTACCGCCACTGCGCAAAGGATTGATATTAGCAAGCTGGTTGCAACTTCTGTTGCAAATAAGTATCGAACCGAGCTAGCTTCTAGGCTAGCTACCACTCCACCGAAAAGTATAGATGAGCATTGGTTGCAATTGCATGACGCCATGAAAATGGCGGGTACAGTCAGTTGTGGGTTTGCGAAACGTCCCGCTTTTAGGCACTGGGTTTCTTCTGGTTCCTTACAACTCATCGAAGCCCGTAGGTCTACTCCGGGTGACCGTGAGTTTGACCATAAACGAAGGATGCTACGTAAGGAAATTGGGCAAAGCTTGCGTAATGACCGAGAAGCCTGGTGGTCGAAGCGTGCTAATGAGCTGGAAGCAGCAGCTGCATCTGGTAATTACCGGAAGCTCTTCCCACTCGTCCGAGCCACTGGCAGCAAGAAGTCTGGTGTGAGTGAAACAATCTGCGAGGATGATGGCATGCCAATCACTAACATCCATCGACGTTTTGGACGGTGGGCAGAATTCTTCGAAGGGCAGTTCAACTGACCTGCTGCTCCGGCAACATCGGTCAGACTGTCCTGCCCTCCATGGCCGGTGACGACTGATCACCAAACGAGGAGGAAGTCAACAAGGAACTCCAACTCTTGAAGGGCTACGAATCACCGGGTCCAGATAACTTACCTCCGGACGTTTTTAAAGATGGTGGTGACTTTTTAACTAAGGAATTGACGACGTTGTTTACAAAGGTGTGGGAACTAGAGAGCGTACCAACGTCATGGAATGAGTCGATAGTTGTCCCTATCTTTAAAAAGGGTTCACGTCGTTCCTGCAACAACTATCTGGGGATAAGTCTACTTCCGATTGCGTCCAAGCTATTGGCTTCCATCATACTTCGTAGGTTGTTCAAAACCCGAGAATGACTGACTCGCGAGGAGCAGGCTGGTTTTCGTTCGGGTCGAGGATGTATTGATCATATCTTCACCCTCCGCCAAATGTTAGAACACCGTCATACTTATCAAAGGCCAACAATCGTAGTGTTTCTTGTCATAAGGGCTGCCTTTGATTAGTTGGACAGGACTGTTCTCTGGGATTGTTTATTGAAGAAGGGTGTGCCTGAGAAATTTATTAACATCTTAAAAGCCCTATATACAAACACCTCAAGCAGAGTGAGAGCATACAACCACCTTTCTCCATTGTTCCATCCAAGCAGTGGGATTAGACAGGGTTGCCCAATCTCACCATTCCTCTTCAACTTTGCCATCGATGACATTCTGATGAATGTAAGTAATGGTGGTGTGAATCTGTTGCCTGGAGAAAGACTTCTCGACCTCGAGTATGCGGATGATATTGTCTTACTGTGCGATAATGCCCAAGCCATGCAATCCGCACTTAATCAGTTGGCAATCAGTGTCCGTAGGTATGGTATGTGCTTTGCACCTTCGAAGTGCAAAGTACTTCTACAAGACTGGCAGGATTCCAATCCTGTACTCACTCTGGATGGTGAGCAGATAGACGTAGTTCAGAAGTTCGTGTATCTGGGTAGCTGCATAAGTGATGGTGTGGGTGTGAGTGATGAGATCAATGCACGAATAATGAAAGCCGGAGCGGCTTATGCCAATCTGGGCCACCTTTGGCGCCTTCGTGATGTTAGTCTGGCTGTAAAAGGTCGGATCTACAACGCATCGGTGAGAGCAGTTTCGCTCTATGCTTGTGAAACCTGGCCTCTCCAAGTTGAGGATGTTAGACGACTCTCTGTGTTCGATCATCGCTGTCTCCGAAGGATTGCTGACATTCAGTGGCAACACCATGTCACTAATGCAGAGGTTCGGCATCGTGTGTTCGGGCACAGAGACGATAATGCAATTGGTGTCACCATCTTGAAACACCGACTTCGGTGACTTGGACATGTTCTACGAATGTCGTCCCAGAGAATTACACGTCGTGCATTATTTGCCGACTCTGGGACTGGTTGGAAAAAGCGGAGAGGTGGTCAGTGCATGACATGGTGTCGTGGCATGAAAGAAAGCTGCAAAGGATTGGCTTGTGTTGGTCCTTCACGACTCCCTGGTTGGGGTCTGAGAGATGGTGCTACACAGTGGCTAGAGACGTTATCAGATATGGCTCAGAATAGAAGCCAGTGGCGATCCTGCTGTAACCTTCTTTTACCTTCTTCATAAAAAAGTTGTTTTGTCTCCCTTACCTGAAAGATTTCTTCCGATTGTGCCTTTGCGTTCCCTGATTACTAGCACATTACCTTACACCAATCTCTTCGTTAGTGATCTGTCTTTTATTTTGTTGCGCTCCTTAGGTTTTTTTGTTTGTATTCCTCTCGAATTCTCATTGTTTTGTGTGGCGCATATATATTGGCGCTCTCTTGTACCAATATTCATGTGTCCAAATAAATAAATAAATAACTCCGGTCACGAAGAGGAAAATGCTCCACACACTCATGAAGTTGCTCGGATGCTGTCCAAAGAAGCACGTAATGCACTTATAGGATGTGAATATCACGGATCCAGGATCATTAAACCATCCTTCAAAACAAAGAAGGGAATCACGGTGAATGTTATCCTCGACATCTGAGGGAGAGCACGGAATACAATGGACAGCTTGGATGCGACTAGACGATTTGGACTTTACAGGTGACCTATCACTCCTGTCCCATACACACCAACAAGTGCAGATGAAGACAACTAGTGTAGCAGCAGCCTCTGCATCAGTAGGCCTCAACACGCACAAAGGAAAAAGCAACATCCTCAAATACAACACAGAGAACACAAAATCAATCACAATTGATGGAGGAACTCTGGAAGAGGTGGAAACTTTCACTTACCTGGGCAGTATCATCGATATACAAGAAGGATCTGATGCAGACGTAAAGGCAACGATTATCAAAGCGAGATCAGCATTCCTACAATTAAGGAACATTTGGAACACAAAACAACTGTCAACCAACATCAAAGTCACAGTCTTCAATACGAACGTCGAGACAGTTCTACTGTACGGAGCTGAAACTTGGAGGACTACAACAACCGTCACCAAAAAAGCACAAGTATTTGTAAACAATTTTCTACGCAAGATACTGAACAAACCAGCTTCCAACTGAAGAGGAAATTAGGAAAAGACGTTGGAGGTGGACAGGACACAGATTACGGAAATCACCAAACTGCATCACGAGGTGAGCGCTAACTTGGAATCCTGAAGGGAGACGGAAAAGAGGAAGGCCGAAGAACACACTACGTCGGGAATCGGAAGCAGACATGAAAAGAATGAATAGCAATTGGAAAGGATTGTCGAGGACAGAGGTTGATGGAGAATGCTGTCGGCGATCTATGCTCTTCCACTAGCGATAACACGAGCAAGTTATTAAGTGTGGCTTCAGTGATTCTGTGATTATGAATAGCAAAACTTTATAAGAGAGAATAAATATAACTTGGAGAAGAAAATATGGTACGTTGATAATAAAACGTACAAATTATGTGGAAGTTAACAGTGGTTAAAAAAATATCATCATCTGGTTAAGTCTTTTTTCTATGTATCCACCTCGAGGAACTGATAAGAACACCGTTGTTCAAACATTCCAAGCTTGGTCTGATTTCTACAAACATACGATAACATTGATTTCGGACACCGAAATGGATTTACTTATAAATGGACATGTCAGGCAAGTGTTAAGAAGGCACTTGAACAAGAATCTATCTGCAAACTCGGTTTGTTTAATTGGTTAACCATGAATCGCAATCGACTAAATGAAATAATAGCGCATAATAACTGGATTATTTAGAGTAGACAACTAAATACTCACTTTCTAAATAATCTTGAATTGCACGCAAATGAAAGTCGTACGAAAATGAATGGAGATGTGTGTAGTCACAGAGTTTACTTGATTCGTTCCAAGAAAGATTACTACTATACTCAAACCAATCAGAATACTTCCCATCTGATGGACTAGATATGATATTAAAAGAAGAATTAGCACTAGGCGAACGAAATGACCTCTCCATATTTCGACGAAAAACTGCATTGAACATAACTGATGTCATACTGGCTGCAGCTGATGCTGCCGTTTGAGAAATCACTTCGGATGTATACGGCCCAAGTGTTACAGAACGTGAAGCATGCCAGCTAAAACGACTAACTTCGATAGTACCCAATCTAACGAACAGATGAAAATCGCGGACAAACAGCTGAAGTAAATAAGAAACAATTAACGAATAATTAAATTATACGAACAGCATGACACTCAATTACGTATTAAAAAGTACTAACATGCAATTTATAACGAAATACAGGCAGTGGATAGTTCATAGAACGGACCGAAACGATGGTGCCTTTTTAATCAGTCGTGTATTCAACTTTTAAAGACATGTTGAATTTGAAACTTATAGACTAATTGTAACCACTACTATCATTCACCAAACAAATATTCATTAACACCATGTTGTTTACATTTGCGTAATAAGGGGTAAACAATCCAGATTTCTACACATCCGACTCGTGTGGTACTGTAATGAATCGGCATCAAGAATAACAATGCGCCTTGATTACCTTAAGTTGTTATCATTACGTACACAGAAAGCTTGAAATGATGACGTTTTATTCGGTCTCCGAAATTCGATTGATTCACAACATTTGAAACCGGAACAGTTTGCAAGGCGGGAATAAAACTGAAGCTTACTTTTAGAGTTAGTTTCGTTACAGAAATTAAGGGTTATCAATGTAGCTGTTACGAGGGACCTAAAACTTGAAGAACCTTATGAAAAAAACGCTAAAATAAGTAACCGACTAACTGTCAATTCAGTTCGGTTAAGAAAAGCATAAACGTCCAAACTTCTAGAATTTACTAGGAATCATCAAGTATCTTGGCTGATTCAAAGTATATGGGAGACGATTTTCGGTTTTTTAGTGGCTTTCATGAACAATTATCGAAATTTAACGAAGATAAATGAAATGTGTTTGAAATTATGAAGCCGAATTCCTTACAATGGAATTCTAAAGAATCTAATTACATTTACGAAAATAAAATAAACAACCGAATGGTTTAAACATTCAGAAAAACTCATTTAATTTGACGACATTAAGATGTACCGAATTTACGTCTTTTCACTTTATTACAAATATCCAAATATTTTCTGAATATCATACTCCTGACAGTAATAGAGATAGTTGAAAACGGAGGTTAACTTTACTGTATTATATATACGAAGTCACTAGTGAGAAAATCCAACGAATTCTAATTATATATATGAAAATCTAGTAATAGAGCAAGGTGGTTGAATTTCTTGTATTTTTTAATGACCTAAGTGGACTAGATTGACGATTCCCTCAGCTGTTCGAAGGAAGTAATGAAGTTAGTTTGTAAGTAACACACAGAACTTAGAACATAAAACGAATGTATCCAAGTTTCTACACCTCAACATCCAAGCTGTAAGAGAGGGAATCAACAGGATGAGATGAAAAGCAAGGAAAAAAATATTATTAAATGAAATAGAAAGGTAAACATGAGAAATATATTTGAAACAGAACTAGCGAGATGTAAGTATAAAAAGGGCCGAATGAAATGTAGATAATGAGTACAGCAATTTCATTGAAGCCAACTTTGAGACATGTCATTAAAATCTCTAGCCAAAGATTACGATTATCACGTGAGGTCTAACAGGGATCCCTATATCTCGATACATGGGTCAAACCAAAAGTTAAAGGATTGATGGAGTGATGTTATGCCTTGTTTTGGCTAAGCCTGATGTTCTTCCAGATAGCTTCTGTGCTGGCCAGTATGGTGTGGCAGACTCGGCAGTGGTTGGTCTTGCATCGCAAATACCATAACAAAAAAAGAAATATGGTAAAAGCAAACAAAAACTTGCTTTGTCGAAACTAAATTCAGAAATTTTGAATTAAGTCCAGTGATTAGTTCAGAATGTCGTTCAGCAGTAATGTAAACCAAAGAAGGATTAGCAGGCTTATACTACAAATTCTACATTATGTGCGTAAGGGTAATAATAGGTAAAATGTGATGATAACTATGCATGTTACCATCAATCTATTTGGTTTTAACTATTTCGGTAAGAATGACGTCAGACATTTTAAGTCAAGTACAGTGAAGTCTATGAAAAGGTCGGTAAATATTAGGTCCAATAGTTCAAAGAACAATTTTGATGGGTTATTTTAGTGTACAGCTGCACTACTTAGAAGTAGTTTGATAATTTTTAAGACAAAAAGGCACTGAAACCGAATTATATCAAGATGATAAATAAATATAATGTTGATAAAACATCTCATCAATCATAAACTAGGTGTTCATATTCTGTTATGTGGAATATATGATACAATCTCTCACTATTACTCTTTAGTAAATATAATAATCAATTTTTATTTAATCGATGTTTTATGGCGTAGGAGTAGGTTGAAAGAAGGCTAGGAGCGACCAGACCACAACACGGCACAAATACATGAAGTCATTGACAAGTGGACTGAGCCATGTTAGTAGGTGTAGACTACTTGGTTGGAATCCATGGGATGACAGCAGTCAATGGTTAGAGACCTTGAATGACATGGCTTAAAGTCGTTTGCAACGACACGAGTCCATCCACTCTTTGTGTTCTCCCAAATTTTAATCTTCTGGATTCTCACGTCCCTTATTTTTTCTCTTTCCAAATTTATTTCACTGGATTGTACTCCTTGAATAACATCTTCAAACCCTAGTATTTACGATTACTGCTTATACTCTTACTACTTTTACCACTATGATATTTGAATCAACAATTGTATCTATGTGCTAATGTGGTATGGCAACTCGAACTGATGTACGTACGTACGAAGTTCTACGTTGCTGCTAACTGACTGATAAAACAAAAACGTTGGTGACCTCATTGTTTAAAATGTAGCGGTCATCATGACGTCACAACATAGTACGTTTTCTTCACATCAATTTCATTTTTTCATTACACATTCATTACTCGCTCGCAGAAAGCACGTGTAGTTTTCAACAAAAAAACGAAATTGTTTGATGATTACGATAGGAGTAGGTATAGCGATTTTCGAACCCATCGTTATAGGATTAAAAAACACGTTTTCCAGTTATCTAAACACAAGTTCATAGTAAAGTTAAGAAAGATGGGAGAATATTGAGGGTTAGTTTCACAGTTAATATATTAAACATAAAGCAACTAACCTCAATTATGTGTACTCCAGCTAAGTGTATAGAACGACGAAACAGTGCATAGTTAATATAAGGTTTTGCTGCCTGTTCACGTCTACTTAATGAAACGGAACTATTGAAAATTGGTATTGAATGAAAGCCTACTTCTTGTTGCAAATATTGAGAATATTTCATTAGAAATTGGTGAGCTACACGACGTAACCAATTATTGAAGTTTAAGACGGAAGTAAAACAACTATCGTGATGATGCGAATTGTCAGCACATGAATTGTTATCAGCAAGTAAGATATCCGTTGAAAGTATATTTGTGTCATCAAGATTACCCGGAGTAGCTGAATTGTGTGACCAACTTAGCCACGGGGATAAAAAACGACTCCCACCGGCGTCCGATACTTGTTTTAGTCTAACAGGAGTTGACTTTACAGAAAAACTGGAAAGTTTTGAGAAATCAACATTTGATTAAAGGCCAATTTATTTACGACAACAATTGAAACGTATCTAGGATTATTACAAAGTAAAAAGCTCTAAAAATTCTCAGACTTCAAACTTTTGGTGTGTTAGGATCTGAAACACATGCAAATCCACTTCAAAATCAGCTAATCAATTCATTTCAATAGCTAGCAACTAGACAATTAAGGATATGCCATTGTAATTTTCATCTAAGAGCAAATGCTTAGGAATCACTTCACCTACGTACATTTTATCTTTTATTTTGTATAGTCTATACAGTCCAATCGACAAGATGACACTCAAGACTTAATATTTTCATTCCCATATCTCAAAATAATCTCATTGATAGCCCCTTATAGAAGATTTACTGTTTTAAATAAAAAAAAGGTCTAAAGTTGTTAATTCCTTACTGTAGGATAATCTCACTTCATGGAAGAATTCAGTTATCGATTCAAGATGTTCTTAATTTGGCTGAATTGTGCACTTTCAAAACTAAACAGAAACAGAAAAATTCTATAACTTACTCCTTTGAAGAGCCCGATTCATTTTCACTGGATTTACACTGGTTTGTAGCTTGTTCGGTATGATAATGCATTTTATCCGAATCACCTATTTCCTTATGTACTGTTAAATCAGAAATGGTAGAATCAGTATTATTGGCAGAAATAACGGTGATGTCCGTAGGTGTAGCTGCAGAAGAATGACGTGAAATAGAACTGAAGTATAACTGAGCTGTTTTATTCATAGCATTTTCTTCTTCTTTGATTAGCTGCACAACTTTTGAACGTGTATTAGGACAAAATAATATGGGAGTACATATGGTGTGCAAGTGACGACAGGCTTGTTTAATAGCCGAATAACGTTGTAGCCGTTTGAACAATTGATCACTGGGCAGAAGTTCCTTAGCCTAATCATATTAGACGAAAATTGCATGGGGAGAGAATAAAATGTGTCTAGAAGACTGGCAATATATAAACTCCAACAGGCAATACTGTAATACAAAATAGTAATTAACTATAGGTAGGAATGGCCATAAAGCAAATAATCATTGTGATATCCATCTCCAGTTAATCTTGGTTGTATAAAATGCCTTATCATAGTATCATCAACATACACAATAGGAACCCACTTAAATGACTGATCAGACAAGATTAGGTATAACAAATCCTACATTTTAAGATACCTAAAACCACTTCAAGAACACAAAGGTTATGTTCATCCGTTGAGAAAATGGAAAAATAAACTTTACTACAGAGGTTCATATACAGACGCGTTTTACCGACAATATTCACTACTGATCACAAAAAGATTATTATTATGGTTGATCGGGTAACTAAAAATAACTCATTTATTGAAAAAAGCGATATAGTGATCTTATAGTAAATTATATGCTACTTATTGAAATCCACGGATCTTTGCTGGAATAATGACTGATCACCTTGAGATGGTCACAAGATAAATCCTTTAAGTTAAAAAACCGATATGGCAGTATTTAATTTGCGACTGATAGCAAACAGTAGTTTTCGAAAGTACTGACCAATAGAAGATTATGGAAGTAATAGAAAAACAAACAAATCTGTGTTTTAGTGAACATGCATTTCTAATCAATAAATTCTAGAGAACGTGATATATATGAACGGAATTATGATGTCAGGTGTATCTAGAAAACATGATAACATAGCATTACAATACATTTCTAAAATTATTGAGTCAAATGTAGACATACAATATACAGTTATAGTAACATATACGGAAAGGAATGAGGCTATCAGAAATAACAAGTCATTGTAACTTACAGAATATTTGCGCAAACTTAGTCCTGCGTTTATTGTATGACCTTAAAAGACCTTTTTATTAACTTACCTGTTACAGGTTTGTGCACTTGAATTTCAAGCCATACTTTAAGTGTGAAGTCTGTCGACACTATCCGGTTGCCGGAACCGGAGGTAGAAGGGGGTTCGAACTCGCGACCTAGTGGCTAAAAGTAGGATGTTTTAACCACTGTGCCATCGCTCAACACAGTTAAGAGAAGGAAGGTGATGAACATAGATCACAATGAACCACATAAAATTTTAATGCTAATTTGCTTCCTAAAAGGAACAGTTCTGAAAAACTAGGATAACTCAGTTACTATGACGAGCAATTTAAACTCAGCAGAATTGTAGTTACTGACTAACGTTCTCTCTAGTACATGAGTTACGCAACAGAAGTTGTACTTTACTGTTCGTAGGCACATACAAGAAGTAAACAGCCTGCTTGTACATCTGAGCTGCCTGTTCCTACCCTCAAGATATTTCCACAAGTTATCTGTTTTTGCTTGTTTTAACACATCATTATGTTTACTAATCACACAACCTATTCAGGTGCGTTTGTGAAAAGTTTACAATCTTTCGCTGTACGAGTTACAAAAAAGCCCAGTCAGAGACATTGTGGTTGCTGGTAATGTGCAGAGAAAAGAATGTACATTATTCAGATGTCGATTCCTGGACTGATAACTTCTAAATGGCAACCACCCAATATTTATCGTCAGGATCGACCTAGAAGTAAGAAATGGAAACTTGTTGAAATACTTTGTGCTCAGAATTCTGTATTGTACCAAAAATATAGTATTGAATAAAGCTAATAATAATAATTTCCCAGAACGATAATAAATGCACCGAAATTATTACATTTAATTCAGAGAACGCAGTACCAAAGAGAACAACTATCTAGTCGAAAATTCTACCCCGTCAAAATCTTACAGGTGCATTTCATATTAAAATAGGGTTGAGTGGGATGATAATTCGAACTGGAATTGTTAGTTATATAATTATTAACTAGGAGCATATGTGGTACACATGTAAATCTTAAAATCAACAACCATTTAGAAAATGCTGTTGTCAATTTTCTGTCTCTACATAATTTGGATTGCATAGTCGTCCGTACAAGACATTGTTTCAAAATTTTAGATATCCCGTTATACAGCACTTCGGTGACTGTATCAGATTACTAAATGTTAGTAGCGCTACGAAAAAAATGTTAAATTATTACAAATCTATCGTTCAAGTAGAAAAGAAACAAAATAATATAACCTTCTATCAATCAACTACGGTCCCATGTAAACTATTGTCAAAAATTCTAACAGCTTTGTAAATATCGAAATTAAAGTATGTTTAATCCTTAAATGTTAACAAATATGAGGCTAAACACAGAAAATCGAAGACGATTAAAATCATTCTTTTTGAATGATGTTAATCTCACAAATTAGGTAAAACGTTGGATTTAGGTGCATACTGTTTGAAATATTCGCATACTCACCCATTTAATTGAAATGATTATTTCAACAAACCTACCATGAACAGTTTTGTGTAATCGGTTATGAGCCACATACACACTGGGTTGGCCAAACCGACACAAATGGAGCTAGGTCTGAATTTCCAACCTAGTGGTTGGGAGTGAAGTGTCAAGTCAACATTTTTTTAGTAAAATGATCAAAATGTATAGCAATCTAGGGAGTATTATGTAGGTATATGACCGGGAAATAATTTAAACATCAAATATTTCAGACATCAGCCGCTTGTTGTGACGTTGAGTGTGTGGGTTTGGTGTGTGAGATCATATACAACAGTATTGAAATCTTCAATTCCCTCCAATTTGTCTGAAGCGAAAAATTAGCAACCTCAGCGTAGAAAACCAGTGAATTTTCAAGGTATTAAAAACTCTTCCTAATATTCTTTGGTGTATGAAGTATGAATACCTCATACACATTACGATTAATTCACATAATTGCTGAACAGTGTTTATTATGTTGAAAATGAGTTAGTTACTGGTATCAATAGTAATAATAACAATATGAAACATTAGTTTGATAATATGAAAAAAGTTCGTCTCACTCACAGATCCCACTGCAGACTTAGAATGAGAAAACTTCTGTCCAGTATCCTTGTTCACTGGTATAGATTTTACTGGATTTGACTCTTTATTTGCTGTATTGTTTTTACCACCTTCTTGCCAATTTCTAAAATATTCACTGAACAATTCGATATACTGAGACCGCCGAATATCAGCATGCATTAACGTTAAGGCTTGCTCACTGTACCGTTGTAACATATCAATGTACGGTAAGTTTGGATTACTAGGTGGTATCAAAGGCGGTATATAACCACAGTCCTGAAATTAATTTTTTAAATAAAAAAACGGTGACTTCAGAAGGGATGTAAGAATGATGAGGATGATGATCATCCTGTATAAAGTAAACACTACCATGGAAACAAGTCATATAGCTAAAACAGGTTTAGAAAACATTTTGTGCATTTTGGGGTAGGCAGTAGATTATAGTTAATTAGACTAGTAGAGGAATACAGCATTGTCATTGTCTACGATAAAGACTTCATGAAATGGGACCTAGAAACTTGACAAAAGCAAAAGTGACAAATATGCAGAATTATCTTGGTTTAATCATAATTATTAGCTAGAATATCAGAACAGAACAGGTACAAAACTAATATTGCATAAAATAAAACCAAGATGGCCATATTCCCAATAACAAGCGGTAGTATATAACAAAAGATTTCAGACGTAAATAACGGAAATTTTTAGAGAATCACGGTCAGAACAAACTTTGAGATGATCAAGATCGCTGAGATCACCGATAATTAGTAATCGCTTTTAATCGTACACTTGATGAAATCAACAAAAAGTAGAGGTTGACTCAAGTTTGGAAGATGGTTTTAGCAAAAAGTACACTTCTGTCAACCTCATAGCGAATGTTTGAAACGGAAAACTCAGTGAAGAAGTTTGGACAGTTGCATGAATATTCTACTACATGACATCTGAAAGTCAAGGAATGTTACAAAATCCTAAAGACTGAAAAAAAGATTCTAGGTACTGGGCATTGTACCGCACTGAGCTCTCACCTGTATTATTATTCATATATCGGAAACTGATGACATTGCCATAATAAAAAATATTTGTTAGAATCATCTTATTTATTGTCAACTAGTTACTTTAAGTAACACTATTGATTTTGAAACTGTTTCCATTATCATCTGTTCGTAAAAAATATATCTGCCTTTTGATGATGACTGACAAAACATATAGTTGAGATTAGACATGTAGGAAACTATTCCATATGGATGCACATTTCTTCTAATGTGAATGGTTAGGGTAGATGAGATACAAATTCCCCAGTGACAATATAGAGTGACTCGAAAAGAGAATTAGTAATTCATATTCTGATGAAAATCTTAGTGTCAGCCGATTGCTTCAAATTCATCCTTACCGTAAATTCAGACACTTTATGAGTTACTCACTTTAGATGTTACTTTAATATTGCCAGCTCTCTCAATCAAGTGTTGATTGATATTCCGACAGACGCATGGTAAAACTGGATTCAGACAAACACCTATGTTAACAATCGTATGCATTTCAGAATTTGAGGATATTTCGAGATTGACACACATCTGAAAATTTTCCTGATGTACCGCATCGAGCTGTATTCCAACGCACAAGAAAACGTTAAACAGGAATGAATTATTCGTGCAAAGAAACTTCCTTTCAATTAGGTTTTCATCACGACCCTAAACTTCTTCCTTCTTTATTTACCAAATGTCGAAATGGGAATTTTCACTATATAGAAAGAAAATAAGCATCAAAAACAATTTCTCTGCAAAAATATCACTTTTGATGGGGATCGTTAAGTTTCGATCAGGAGAGAAACATAGTGTTGCACAAGCATCAAATTCTGATAAACATCACATAGAAATAAGTATAAGAGTGATTAATTTCTACGATATACGCGCCGAATATCAGTGAAAAGCTATCCGTATTCTTATTATTGAGACACAGTTAACATAGATGTTAATCGAAATCGTTCTTTATTTCTCAAAGCTGAATATATTGCATAGATCAGACAACAAAACAGCCACAGCAAAGTTGTGTGGGGTTTTACGATATTTGTAAGTAATTAGTAGTACACCAATGACTAGTGTTTCAGAGACTTGGAGGAATAAAGACTCATACTAATTATTTAATCATTCGAAGACAGAATAAAATGGATGCATGCCGACGATCCAGAATGTAATGTGAACTAGTAAAAAGGGGGTAAACTTACTTGAAACAGTCGTAAGAAGTTGTTGATACTCTTATGTTCCTTAAATTCCATCCGTGAATTGTTTGTTCCATGAAGAGATGACGAATGAGTTTGAAAGGCGGGTGAGGAAGGAGTGTGAAAAATATTACTGCTGTTAATACAGTTAGTATTCATATCAACTGTAGATGGTGTTACATTTCGCCTGCGAGCAATGGAAGTCACAGCTGATAGAATATTCATAGAAATACTTGATACAGAAATTTGAGCATTGGGTGTAGATGAAACTGACGATAAAGGCGAAGTATTATATAAATTACTTGAAGTCTGACTAACTACTGTACACGGAGAATCCGTACCAATGTTTAACTCAGGAGGGCATGTATTTCGTATCAAATCCATAGCACGAGCAGCACAACCGCGAAAAGCTGAATTACTGATCGCATGAAATAAGCCCAACTTTTGAAATGATAGTGAACATAAAAGCTAGGTAAATAGATTGAATGAGGTAGAATGATAAACTCAGTAACGAAATAGTAAGCAAATAACAACGAAAATCTAACTGAAGTCTATTTAATTTAAGAAAATTCATTTATAGCGTAATGCTAGAAAAATCCTGAGGATAGCAACTGATGAAGTTGACACTTTATCTCAAATACAACAAACTATCCTGAACAAACTTTTATTTATGCTAAAATAAGCGAGTAAAACAACCTGCTGCCTTTATGGTAAAATGTGGTATGCAAAGACTAACATTTACTTATTAGTTCATCCGGATTGTTATTCGCTTATCTTCAAATTTCAAGACCTGAACTTAGCAGATATAGAACAGAGTCATTTATAGGGATTCTAATCGTATTTACGACAAACGATAGTTGATTACTCATAAAAATATTTGTAATCACCAATAGAATTTCGATTATCTGTCTATCATAATTATTTGCTATGTTAAAGATAACCTATGAAATTTCCTCTTTAGTGACGATCAGGATACCATTAACTTGGCTCTATCATAATCACAGTATATGTGTGTCAATCTAAGATTTTCAGATGGATCACAGGGATAGATGGTTCAAGTAGTTATTTTTAAATAGTGAGAATCGGAAGCGGTCATTACCACCACTTAGTATTTGGACCAAATTAATAAGCAATATAAATTACAGTGACAAGTAAATTCCCACAAATTAATAAAGAGGTAACGTAAAACATGAAGTTCCAAACAGATATTATGTTGATGCTTACTTTTAATCAGGAACAACACTAACTTGTTGCACCCTATGGAAAACGGATGGCATAAGTGAATAAAATGAAAGGGGAGAAAATTACCTGATAACGTTGATTATACCATTCAACAGATAATAGTAAGCGGTTTGACATACGTTCAGCTTCTTCTTTTGTCCAATTATAAGTAAACATTTGAATATGACGCCCATTTACATATATAAGACAGAAGCTCTGTCTAGGAATATGTATATTTATCCCATATTTTTCTTGTAATATAGGGTAATTTTGAAATAAGAATTCATTTGAATCTGAACGATCAGTTTGGTCCAAATGAGCACTATCATTTGTATCAGCCGATGTGTGTTGAATCATTCCAATTTTTACAGGACAAAACTCTGGGAACTTTGATACTGAAAAGGGGAATACTGATGACAACCTTAAGTAAATTCATTTCAAAGTACAAAATCTTAATCATGCACGATATGTAGCAGTGGAGCGGTAGATTAGTGGTTAAGGTGTTCGACTTTCGGCCAGGAAGTCACAGGTTAGAATCCCGCTCCACTTAACGCAGAAGTTGGAAGACAAAGGGGATTATTATTCTGTGAAAAATCTTGACACGATTTATAAACAATTTATCCATACGATGACAGAAGTAAAAGAAATTTAAGAGATTTGTACAAGAAATAGTTGGAAACCATTTGTTCGATGTTTTGTCAGATTCCCGAATGCATTATTAAGGAAAATAACTTTAGTTTACTTTAGGCGGTAGGGCGCTATTTTTGAGCATATGATGCGATACATAAAAGGAAATATAACAAAGACTATCAAGTCCAATTGTAAAAAGATGCACGCTATAAACTAAGAGAAGGGACTTTATTATTATAAATCAAGTTAGTCTCTCGTCAGAATGTACATCGATTAGATTCTTCAACCTGGGGTAAATTAAACGCCGAATAGGAGTAAAACCACAAAATAAACACAAATTATACTAGAGATAATTGATAAATTTCTGGTAACTTATCTTCCTTAGTTTAAAACCAGGTCAAACTACAGACAGTTTAGACTGAAACGAAATATTATAAACTTCACCCTAAAATTTCTTCACAAAACCAAAAATTGAAAACGAGATTTCTTACTGGGTTAATGCCTAAAATATGACTTTCCTAATTATCAGCGGGCTTATAGAAAACAAATGACTGTCTGTTATATCTTACACATTACCCAAAAGAAGTTGTATAAAACGATTGAATGCGATTGCACATTCTAAACCTTTACTGGAAATTCAACAACATCACAATCCTGAAAACTAGAATGTTCGGGACATGAATTTCTGGAACAACCGTAGAATAAGAGCAAACAAGCAAATACTGAACTTACCAAGTAGAGCGGAATTGCAACAACTATCTGTAAGACACCAATGAAAATCAGATGACTGAGTTACACGTCTCTTAGCATCATTGTTAGATAAAAAGCGTGCTTCACAAGTAGACGCTTCATCATTACGATAAAGTCTTTTGATGGGCGGATTAGATTCAATGTTTACTGAGCAAATATTTGGTGAAATGTTAACTTTCAATGGTTGCATTCGTGAAGATGCATCATAATAAATACCTATCCAGTAGAAAAAATATTGGTAATTTATATGTTTAAAAGCCTGATATTTTACTGAGCAAATTTAATAGTATACTTTTACTGATTAAGCTGTGTTATTTCAAAATGAAACGTGAACTACTTAACGAAACGTAAGAAAATTCGAAATATGAAGCTCACACAATCTAAAAAGCAGTGAAACCATATTTCACGTCTATATAATCCTTTCTGTGAATTGTTTTACTTAACAGATAAATAATTTTATTCGTCTGACTTCGACTTTGTAGGGAAATGAACCAAGTTCATCAGACAAAAAACGATGTTATAACTTACACTAATTGGTCATCGTGATTTAAAATAATTCTTCATAGTCAGAACGAAAAAATTAATAACAACACTGATACCAAGATAGGCACCATATAAATTAAAGTGACATTGTGAAGAATAAAATGAAATTTTGAGTAAATCAGTCAGTCAGTCAGTAACAACGTAGAACTTCGTACGTACGTACATCAGTTCGAGTTGCCACACCACATTAGCACAGAGATGCAGTGGTCGATTCAAATCCCGTAGTGGTAGAGGTAATAAGAGTATACGCAGTAATCGGGAAGATTAGTGTTTGGAGATGTTACTTAAAGAGTATAATACACTGAAATAAATTTGGGAAGAGAAAAAAAAGAGACAAGGAGGAATAAGGAGATCAAAATTTGGGAGAACACAAAGAGTGTATGCACCTGCGCCATTGCAAACGATTTTGAGCCATGTCATTCAGGGTCTCTAACCGTCGGTTGCTATCATCTCGCGATCCCCAACCAGGTAGTCTACACCTACCAACATGACTCAGTCTACTTGTCAGTGACTTCATGGACTTGTGCCACGTTTTGGTCTGGCCTATCCTAGCTTTCTTCCAATCTACTCCTATACAACAAAACATCGCTCGTTGGGGCAGTCGGTTGTTGGGCATACGTACCACATGTCCCGGCCATCCCAACTGATGAAGTTTCACTAGGTCATCAATAGATTTGCCATCCTTACCTAGTACCCGGCCATGTTTCACTGCCATAAAGTAGGACGGAACGCACTGCTGCACAGTAAACCCGTTATTTGGTTGATAGACGGATATCTCACCTACGCCATAAATGACGCAAGTTGGCGAAAGCTAGTCAAGCCCTCTGTATCCGTGCTGAGATTTCGTCACACCAGACCACAAGGGCTGATGAGACTTCCAAGATAAATGAAGCGATCGACACGCTCAATTATTTCACTCCCTATCATTAGTTCAGCTGTCGAGGCAACCCAATCCTGAAACAACATTTCGCATTTCAAGGGGGAGAATCGCATCCTGAACATGCTTGCATTGTTGCTTAGAGTGGTCAGAAGACTGCATTTTGTCAGCGTCTTCGCTAAATAAAACTATGTCATCAGCATATTCTAAGTCCACAAGTGAACCTCCTAGTAGAAGTTCCCAAATTCTACCTAGGACCTCAGTCAGTCTCGCTACTAATACTGGACCGTTATCCTTAAAAATCTCAGGGGTAAACCTGCCAGTGTCTGCTGCTCTCTCTCGTTTCAGATTTCCTGTAGCTTTTTCAACTTCGTAAAGAGTTGAAGGACTTGCATCAATTTGCCATTCAGGTCGACTGGAGATCGTGGGAAACCGAAGTGTGGCTGAAGGCCAGTTGAACTGATCCCTGAAGTGTTCTGCCCATCGATCAAATCTCCTGGATTGAGAATGTATAATATGTCCATCTTTCTCTGGGAGTGTTTCGCTAACAGTCGGTTTCCTAATACCGGTTTCCTTAACAAGTATGAACAATTGGCTGCTATTACCTATTGCCGCTGCCTTTTCCATCTCTCTTGCTTTCGCTACCCACCACTGTTCACGATCATTGCGTAGACTTCTTCTCAGACTGTACTTAAGCTGACTAGACTCTTCGTCATGTTCAGAGCCAGGTGGAATGAGTTTCCGAGCATCTATCAGTGTGATAGATGCTGCTGAGATCCAGTATTTCTCCCTAACCTTACGGGTTACAGTACTAGCAGATATCATTGCTGTTTCCACAGCTTTTCGGATATCATTCCATGCTGCCTCGGGGTGAGCATCACATACATGGCTTCCTGACTGTTTTCCTAGCTGTTCCTGAAATATATTCTTAGCTTGACTATCATTAAGTAGGACCCTAAGAGGTCCCCTTGCAGCGTCTTTCCTACGTCCAGTAAGACGCAGACAGATACGCGCTCGTACTACAGCATGATCTCAATCTAAGCATGTGCTCCAGAATGAGCGACAGTCTTCTATCGAGCACCTCCATCGGTGGCTAATAGCGATGTGATCTATTTGGGTCCAACGTTGGGACGAATTAGGCGGTCGCCATGTTAAAAGATGTTTTCCTTATGCTTAAAGTTAGTATTTGCAAGAAACAGGCGGTTATCTGAGCATAGCTGCAACAGACGGTCGCCATTATCTGTTCTTTGAGCCACGACACCATAAGATCCACCTAGGTGTCTTTCCCTATCGCTTAGTTTACCTACTTGAGCATTAAAGTCACCGGCCACTATTACTACATCCGAGCGCCTACCTTTTCGGACAAGGTCGGAGAGCTTTCTGTAAAACTCATCTTTTACATCATCTGCGCTGCAGTCGGTGGGAGAATAGGCAGAGACGACGAAGAGGCAACGACGAGTGTTCCTATCTTTCTGGATCCTTACTGTTCCGTTCAGTCGGACAGCGCACAAACGACTGTCTACTGGGATCCAGTCTAAGAGAGCTAGTTCTGCCCTAGGACTCAATGCTATACCTACGTCGGCGAGGCCACGGGAAGCAGAATCCAGGCAGAACCTATAGGAACATATGTTCCAGCCAATATAGCTCGGTTGGGTCATTACGATAGGCAAGCCCGACCACCGCCTCAAGGTAGCAGCTTCGGTCGGGATTTTGAGTAAATAACAAACACTATTGATAAATAACTGGCCAAGCAGGAGAACATCAAACGAAACATTTATTACTGTTTGTGAATGTGCTCTATCAGTTTTAGGGGGAAATATATTTACATATTTACAGTAAATCAAAGGAGTAAAATATATCGATAGGTGCTAATCCAGTAAAACCATTTATTTCTTAATCGTTATATAAAAAGTATCAATAGTCTCTATTTTCCTAGTCGGGCTTTGAGTCATAAATTAATGCTTAGGGATGCATGTAAATTGTATCTAAAATATTAGAGTCATTCGAAAATATGCCTACTATTAACTGAAGACCTCCACACTTGATCAAACTCCGAGTGATATTGATACTGAAGAAACGAGGTTAGTCCTACTCAAACACCAATCAAACACAATTAACTTTAGGTGGTTACTGGAATTTCTAAAAATGCATTCCTTCAATTCCTTGAGGATTTAAGAAACACTATTTATTATTTTAACATAGATATTAGTACAAGGAGGCACCAAATACATATCCGTCATACAAATCTCTTTTGATATGTGTGAGGGCTGGGATACTGCCCGTGTGCCGGCCACACTCGGTATTTCCAGTCGGTCACCCATGCAAGTACTGACCGGGTCCAATGTTGCTTAACTGCAGTGATCGGACGAGAACACTGACTCATAAAGTATATTTTAGCATGTCCTACGTCTGCCGATTCTCGGGATGAGGTTTTTTTCAGAAGCTGATACAGTTGTCTAAAAACCAACTTTAAGAAGAATATGTTTGATTGTTCCCAAATAGGTAATCATTAGACAATTCGGTATTCCACTTCAGATAATTCAAGAAAATCCACAAACAGGAAATACTAAAAACACGTACTTATCAACATGATGATTCTTCCTAATCTAATATTAATAGTATTTTGACGGTCAAAGTAAAATATATAAAATTTTATGGATTACTGCAATTAATATACGTTAACATTAGCACGTATGAAATGCTACTGAATGAGCCATAATATTGCAAGACTATAGGAATAAATACTGATACTTTAAACAAAGATATCCAAAATTAGTGTCACTTTTGCCAGTAATTCAATAACAGATATTGGGTTCAATGCTAACCAACAGAATTTCTACAGGACATTTTTTCCCAGTTCACCTCCAAACAGCATGTCCAATGAGTCATGAGATGTTAAGACGTTAAAGTGTATTATTTCTGTATGAAGCGAGAAATTAAAAATACCTAGTAGCAGGTACTTATAGCATTTAAAATAATAATAATTCATCAAAACAGTTAAGTAAAAAGGAAACTTACCAGAATCAGAAGTAAATTCAATAAGCCAGATATGTGATGTTTTATCTAACGATTTTGGAATGGCGATAGATTTGGGTTGCTGTCCCGTCTGAGTTACGTTGAGAACTCTTTTCCAGGCGTTTCGATTGCGACCGACTATAATATATTTATTGGTGAAACCTGGCTTAAACATCTCTACATTCTCTTCACACTTTGCTTCACTTTTAGTATTTGAACTCGCTGCTGATTCAGAGGGACTAAATGTCCCACCAGTGATAACAGATACACAAGTGAATTCTGTTGTAGAATCCTGTTTACGGGAAATTGTATTTGGAGAACTATCAAGAACCGAATTATCATCATGAGAAATAAATGGCTTTAGAAGATCCGAAATCAGTTGTTCAACAAATAAACAAGACGAAAGGCTAGTAGAGACGTCTGTTACAAGCGGTGATTCAATATTTCTTCCTTCTTTCATCCATTGAAAAACAAGTAAACTCAGAGGCATATTCTTGGAACTTACAAACGTATCTTTTGAATCTGAATTTGCTAAGTCAATACTATTTGAGTTTTGGGAAGACTCCTTATTTAAGGTATCATTGCTGCATTCTACATCTGGAAATAATGGCGAAGTCAAAACAAGATGTTCTGTTATTAGATCGTAGAGAGCATGATGAACAGAAGTCATCAGGCGCATCTTTAAGTTGCTCAGATCAGAATGTCCCCGCTCCCACATACGAACTGATAAAACAAGTCTTGGTACTGGATGCTTCTGTAAATCAGACTTACTAACTTCAGAGAAATTCCTAATTGCTTTAGACATGTCTTGAAAACACAGATTGCAAGACATTCCAGGACAAGCAGGTTCATCAGATGATGTGGATTCCGTAATAACGTAAGGCCTAGTGAAGCTATAATTTTTTTGAGGTGTTTTATCGCCAGAAGTTATCATAAGCTGGATCAAGATAGTTGCAACACCATGTTTAGAGAAACCCTGAGCGCTTGGACGATTGAAAAGATATAACTCAGCCTTACCTAGTTCCTTCAGACGCTTTTTAGTATCATCATCAATTTTAACTGGAGTTAAGAATAAAAGAAGATTTTGTCGAAAGTAGTGGCAAAAAGAGAGAACTGCTTGACTAACAAACAAACTACGATCATTACCCGTTAGAAACTTAGGTAGTGCGATATAAAAGTGAATGAGGGGTTGTTCAATTCGCCTATTGAGTAAAAACGTAAAGTCCTCCAACGTAAGACGATTAATGGCGTTTCGAGAAAGACTGTCTGATATATGTTGAAGAACAAGTCCATCTAAACGAGTTTGTAGCATATGGTGAACAGAAGAACAAAGTCGCCTGCTAGGTTGACTTATACCATGAAGAGTTATTTGCAAAACATTTTCCCCAATGTGGTCATTGTGCTTGTAAGTTTTCTTTAAATTGCCCGCAAATCGGATGCCTTTGTGAATATTTTTCGAAGTTTCTTCAGAACTGCCAAAGTAGGTTGAAGTGAGGACATCTGAAGAAATATGTTTGACTTTATTTATCTTGGTACTTGACTTAGGTTCTAATAAATGCTTTGGTTCTGTTTGACTTGTCCGTTTATCTAATAGACCTGATTGCTGCTCGGATGAAAATGTTGCAGTAGTAATTTCTTTCAATAACATATAAAACACAGGGTCTTGTGAAGATTCTGATAATGAGTGTATTAACTGCACCTCTGAGTCACAATAAGACTGTCGTTTTTGCTTGGCAAAAGCAGAAATTGAATCTGTTTTGGAAGGGTGATCAATGAGGAAGAACATATTAGATCGGTTTGTTATGGCCAAATTTTCCAGAAGCCGACGAAGGACCGGAATGATACGTCTGCCTTTTTCAACAGAATATATTTGACAGTTAAGAAAGACACGAGGATGTAAATAAATATAGCTGGTCATTTGTACTGGACAAGCAAATACACCAGGTGGCCAAATTTTGCCCCGCAATGGGAGTTTCTTTTGATTACCACCGATATTCACGGAATGTTGTTTGGTATTGTGTATTCTGGAAGATTTTATGCAATTAGTTCTGTCGATATGACTAGGATTATTTGAGTGGGTCTTCAATTTGTGACAACTAAAAGCTGCTTTTTCTTTATCTGTTGGAGGTATATGATGAATGAATGAACGGAGATGACGTCTATTTCGGACTTTCCATCCACGAAAATTACTCGCATTAAAAGATCCATTTCGAGTGTTGCTTTCATCCCATTCAGATGAACTAACTACTTCGCGTTTTGTAATCATATCCACTTCGTCGGGTGGCAACAAAAGCTGATCACATAGACGTTCATCATAAAGTTTATTCAACAACAGCTTCTGATTGAGCATTCGAATGACAGAATAAATGGAACTCACTACATTTTGATAAATAGTGCAGTACGGACATTCAAGTAACAATATATCCTCATAAGTTTGGTATGATGAATTTTTAGGCAGTGCAAATTTGGATAGTGATAAATCTTGACACTGCCTTTGACCGTGAATGCTTTTGATGTGTAAATCTGTATGATGAAAGAAAACGCTAACCGAGTTGGAACAAATACGGAATATAAACCAAAATGGCATGGATTTATTTGATGATTGTATATATTCATCTAAGACAAGTGAATGTATACTTTTTCTTGAATTACTTTCGGATAGGCTTATACTGCTTCTAACAAGATTACTTTTAAAGACAGCTTCATTGTCCTTTTCGGAATAATGAGAGTCAAAACTAGAAAGTGAATATGATCTATGGGTTCGACAAGGATTTTGCTTGGATAAGTATGATCCTTTATTTCCACACGAATCATTGCCAACATATGAAACATTCATATGAGTTTGATATTTTAGAGACCTAGCAAGTGCCCTCTTTTGTGAAGTATGAGCAATAGCCATACTATCAGGAAACGATGACTGATGTGAAGAAATCTTATCCATGGTAACACTTGGGTCTTGAAAACCAGAGCTGAAATTTCCAACACCAGGAAAATAGTTAGTTGTGTTACCGTCCCTGCAACTTCTCTTCGCGTGTCGTTTCTCTAGAACGCTTTCAGAAGTCTCTTCAAAGCTTGATAGGTAGTAGTACCCATTAATATATTGAAGGGACCCATATGAATGGGAAACAAGCATACTCTCAAAATACTTCGCAAACTGGTCAACTACATCAGTGTCATAGGAAACGAAGTCCAAGTGTATTCGTTGCATGCGAACCTGTTTTCTAAGACTGCGAAAGTTCGGTGCTACGGTACATAGTTGTTCTACCACAGCTGATGACTTTTCGAAATCCATATTTGATTTTGAGAGTTCATCTTCGCTAGATATATACGAGTGGTTGACTAAAATGCTACAGGGATTAAAGAGTGGAGTATGTATCGCTTTACAAGTATCTTCAATGTGCTGGAGGACAGTTTCAAGGGATTTTTCCGTCACTGGAGTGAGGGAACGCATACAATTTACCGACTTGTCATGTATATGCCACAACATTTGAAAAATGAAGAGGCGGAGAAAACATTGTTGTATTGACGGAATTTTAGAGACATAGTTCTGGTTTAACCAGCCATCTATAACAATACATTCTTCCTCCATTGTTGAGTAAGCCATATTAATAGAATAACTACTGGACATAAAAGAGCAGAGAAAGATATCTGAAGACTCCAGATGTTGATTTCGTACACGGCCCGAATTCATGTCTGTTTTATTTTTATGACGCGACTTCTTAAAAATATTGTCGTTAAATTTGTGAGAATGAAAGAGATCAGAATGTGGTCTCACGATAGGTAGAATCTCGATATAAAAATATAATTCCCTCAAATCAATTTTTAATGCAGAGCTGTTGCTCATAGATGCAACTTTATGGTTGGATGATGAGCTGTGTTGAGAAGCCTTTTTCAAGATAAGCTCTGATAAAAGCCCGTGAAAATGAGAAGCACAGAAAGTAGGTATCCCTTTACATAAAGGTACATTGATAGATGTTCCTTTGTACTCCAAGATTCCACGAATGCGTAAGAATAGGGGGCAAATATCAGGCGAATTTTCCGTAACTAAATGAAACCACTCTACCAATTTTCGCAGTAGTGAATCCGAAGAATGCGAAATAGAATGATTACAATGCGAAACCTCTTTATTCGATTTTAGGGTGCGTGAATCCCACAAAGCCTCGCTCTCTCCGCTGGCTTCCGATAAGTTACAAGTCACCGAACTAGTGTACGCGTTGCGAGTGTCTGTTTGACTGAGGATTTCCCTAGAACCAGAAATATTTATAGCTTTACTCCAAGATTTTAAGATATTTTGACTTACAGAACGACGGATCGTGCGATTTCCTTGACACGTTAACTTGGATTTTGACAACACATAAACACCATCCAAATTCGGTACGGGTTTGAGATACTCAGTAAATGTACTGAAAAGACAACTTCTTTGAATTTCACAACAGTCGCAGTTATTAGCGGAAGACATGTAAAATTCAACTGCCAGGTCCTCTGAATCCAAGAAACACAGTGGAGATGCAGATTGCTTTGGCTTTTCACAACCCAGAGCAGGTAGATGTTTAGAACAAATACTTTCTTCTAGATATTTATTACTTCTTTTGTGTAGAAAATGAACGTAGGGAAAAAGATGAGAACAGGTAAGTAATGAGAATGATGTAAGATCTACATACAACGGCTGAATTGGAAAACACACTTCTGAGTGTCTAAGTATATAATTGACATCTTTAGCGTCAGGAATAGAGTTATGCAAAATAATCCGATAAATTGCAACACTGAAACCATAACTGTACGAGTGCTCTAAAATTTCAGTATAGAACATCAAATCAGACCACAATGCGTGCAACTCTTGAGTCAATCTTTCGTTTTGACAACCCACGTTCAGAAAACAGTCTGGGACTTCACATGGTAAAGAATATAACTTTCCAACAATATTACATTCATGTTTATCTGATTGGAGAAAACGTCGGTCATTTGAGCGCATATCAATGATGTGAGTATCTGGGGCCTTATATGTCCATTTGTCATCAATTAGATATGACATATAAACACGAGAACACGCATAGATAAATACAGGAAGAGAAGGGTGGTTAGATGCATCAGAAGTTCCTAGGTGATTGGTAAGTATACTAAACATAATAGGATGAAATACATCACCTATTGTGGCTGGTATAAGAATCATTGTAACCATAGGATTTGGTTCATCAATAACATCTGAATCAACAACAGATTGCTTCAAAGATCCCCGACCAACAAAACAACGCAATTTAGGAAGATCGATATCAGTGTTTTCTGGGAATTCAGAGTTTATGTTGCAGCCCCATTTAATAAAAACAGTTTTCAATTCATCTACAGAAACTGGAACCTCCACCAATAAACCAGAATTTAGGAGACGTGATTGAAAACTTGTTAACAGACGCTGGTTATGAACATTATTTGAAAGATTAGATGAAGGTTTCTTGTTAACAACACTTCCCAATAAAGGGAACAAAGCAATTAAGTTTGAACAACGAGATATCAGCCTAGATATGCTACTATACACTAGACAGATTTCTGTAGAACACTCTAGTGGAAAATATGCATCACCACCTAGTAAAGTTATCTTTTTGGGAGAACCAATACAAACTTTGGATTTGTTGGTTACAAAGTTATATAAGTTATCCAATGTTATGTATGAAACTATGCACTCTTCGTCTTCATTAAAAATAATCCGGGGTAATTCGGAAAAAGTAGATCCTGACCAGTTTTCAGCTTCCGAATCAACTGAGTTAATAATACCATCGACAGGCTGGATCCACATTTCGGAAGCAATAATGATAGGAGAAAACGAGGACTTTTTAATGTCGGGAACTGTGGAGGAGTCAGGTGAATTTAACATGTCTAACACAACAGCATCGATACGGCTCTTTAAAAAATTATTTATAACAGTCAAATGTCCTAAATCATGTCCCTGAAATTCTACATTTTTAGGGTCAACAGTTGGATAGACTTGATACTGAACTAAACATGGAATTTCAGTGTTACTGATTTCAAGTGATTGCATTTCCAGTTCAGTTAACAAAGACACAAATCCGGATTGCGGACCTACTCGAGCTAGATGAAATCCTTCCTGTAATCGAATGTTCACAAGACTTGAGAATATTGACTGCATACATGACTTCCAAGTTGATGAAAAAACTGCCCATACACAAACAGAATGATGAAGATGTTGAGCCAACAATACTGGATTGATAGTCGCATCATTTACTGGAACGGTTTGTAAAAACAGAAGCCGATTTTGTTTGCATGATTTTGACACACGTTCAGATTCTTGAGTATGGTCAAGCTTGACAGACTTATTTTTATTAGTGGAAATGCAGTCTGAGGCTTTTACCACAGGGTTACAGAATGTACCGAAGTCTATTACGAGACGATCAAGCCTAGTATTAAAGACTGTGCAACATGGTGTATCCTCCCAGGAGCGTTGAAGAGGTGGAACATGTTTGCACTCAGCCACATGTTGAAAAGTGCCAGATTTGTGTCTAGATTTGGGAATAGCTTGGCGCCCTCTTGGTGGAAAATGAAGAGACTTTAATTGTGTTTTGAGATACTCCATGATTTCGTGTTGGATATCAACAGGAGTATTATTGACAAATCCAATGCAAAATCTAACTTCGGGAATTTTTAATTCGAGACGAATCAGACAGAAATGAGACACAGATGACATGGAAACCCCTGAACATGTCTTATTGCAACCAACGTCACATTCACTAACCTTTTTCGCGTCCATAGTTTCCTGGGTAGCCCCAGGAACAGAAGAAATCGATGATAAAGAACTGGATTTATGTACAAGTCTCCCAACAGCAAAGTCACCGATATGAAACAACTTTATATAGGTACTATTTTCGAGCAAAACAAAACTTGACCATTGTGAGAGAAGAGTATGAACACGGAAAAGAGCTTGACGACATGATAGAGGAGAGGCATCGCGCTTGTCTGATGGAGGGAAATGTAAGTTAGGTGGTAGAGGTGAATCGTATTCCAAGAGTAAGAAGATGTGATGCAAGTCCATCCAACGATAGCACTGAACTAGGTCAATATCAATGAAAAGTCTCCAATAATCGATAAAGCGTAGAATCGATAAATAGTCAGGATTATTAGTCGGTTGCAGATCTTGTAGTATTGGTGTTGCAACCAAATCACCTTGGAGATTGTTTTTCATAACAAACACAGGATACAAACGATTAGCAAATGAATCAGGAACCTTCCGAACAAATGGGTCCCTATTGAACTCATAAACATGCGCTAAAAGTAAATCATTCAAAGTTATCATTTGAATAGGCAACGGAAGACGAGAAAACATTGACGATAGTTCCAGATTACTGTAAGGTAAAGCATGTCTATTAAAAAGCTGTCGTAAAAATGAATAATTTGCTTCAACCTTCAATTCTACCAACGACTTTTCAGGAGTAGTAAAAGAGTTAAAAAAGGGAGATAACAAAGCGTCTTCATGTATGTTCTTTGTAGGGAAATCAGTGGAGCCAGTTACGATAGGAGAACGAAGTATTCGTGTCCACCCTCCACGTATAGAACAATGGAATGTTATATTTACACCCCATACCATCACAAGATCTAACTTTAATTTAGTGGCCACACAATCATTAGAGGTTTTCTCATTCTCAGTAAGTGGAACACAAGCTCCCATCTCTTCATTTTTATTGTAAACAGAACCCTCTGCAGTAATTAAATGGCTTTTTGGGACAGTGAATTTTTTAGTTAGTGAGATAGATTTAAGCCGGAATCCACTTTTTAATCTTGTTGTTAACAAAATATGTGGAGGCAACTCTACAATTTTTGAACCTGCCTTGACGATGACTCGGGAGTCACGGTTAAAATCACTATAACATGTAGTATATTCGCTATGACGAAATATGGGGACGGCTAACAAAGATTCGGCCAATTTATCCCACGAATTCATCTGAACCGCTAAATGCTGAGATTCATCCGGGATATTGACAACGAATCCATCAGTGTTACTGGCTAAGACACTGCACAACTCCACTTGCTGAATACCCGCAGTCATGAGAGAAGATTGTTTAGACATATTATGAGGAATATATGGTTTGTGGACGTCAGGGATAATATTGTCTGTCATCAAAATAAAAACACATCGAACATGTTCTACGTTTAAATGAGACATAACTAATTCTGGAACACCAAAATCAGATGTTGCAAAACAGCCGTGTGTGAAAAACAAGATTGTGGCAGGTCCTGAAATAGGAGTCAGTAACGACACAGATAAAGCCCCATGTCTAAGTAGGTCCGATAAGAAGACATATCGTCTCCCTGTATATTTCGAGTCATCACGCTTATTTTTAATGTCTTCCAAAAACTTACGCTCAAGTTTCACAAGCGAACGAGAAATATATGCTATTTTATTGGGAATCTCTTTAGTGTTAACAACCCAACCAGACAATAATGTATAGCACTTTGAGTTAGGAACAACAACGATCACGGAACAAAAAACTGTAAAGTTGGACAACTTGTAACCAGTCCCGGGAAAACTATAAGAGCTGGGTTCAG